GATGGTAGGTAGAAAATAGATAGGGGAAGGGCAAGAATAGTATGGGAAATATAGAATCTAAAGAACTTGAGACACTTGGTCATAAACTAAAGGGGGGAATGGTGGGGGTAGGGGTGTGCAGGGTGGAGGGGAATGAAGGGGGGAATAGAACAACTGTAATGGCATAATCAATAAAATAAAAATTAAAAAAAAAACAAGCCCTGGCTGTTGTAGCTCAGTGGATTGAGTGTGGGCCTGTGAACCACACGATCACGGTTCAATTCCCAGTCAAGAGAACATGCCTGGGTTGCAGGCCAGTTCCCAGCAGGGGACTCACGAGAAGCAACCATACATTGATGTTTCTCTCTTTCTCTCCTTCCCTTCCTCTCTAAAGATAAATAAATAAAATCTTTTTTAAAAATTAAAAAAAAGAAGAATGAAGTACTTATACATGTTACAACATGGTTAAACATTAAAAATATTATGCCCAATGAAAGAAGCCAAGTACAAAAGGGTTGATTCCATTTATATGAAATGTCCAGACTAGGCAAATCTACAGAAACAATAAGTAAACTAGTGGTTGCCAGGGGCTGGGGGGGAAGGAGAATCTGCAATAATTCTGAAAGGTATGTGGTTTCTTCTGGGGGTGATGAAATGTCCTGGAATTTGTGGTGATGCTATACAACCATGTGAACATACTCACACCCAAGAAAGCTAAGATGGCAGGGTAGGTAAACATGGCTTGCCTCTTTGCACAACTACATCAAAATTATGACTAAATTATAGAACAACCATCATTCAGAACCACCAGTAATCCAGCTGAATGGAAGTTCTACAACTTACAGAATTCAGGAAGAAACTACATTGAGACTAGTAAGAAGGGTGGAGATGCAGAACGGGTTGGTCCCATACCCATGTGTAGTGGGTGAAAGTCATGAAGGATATCTCAGGAGCAAGGGAGTGGGGAGTGCTTGGTTGAGGGGGGTAAAGGGGGGAAAGTGGTACAATTGTAATAGCATAAATAATAAAATATAGTTTATATTAAAATATATACTAATAACCACTAAGTTGTACTTTCTTAAAAATTTTATTTATGTATTTTTAAAGAGAGGGGAAGGGAAGGAGAAAGACAGGAAGAGAAACATTAATGTATGGTTGCTGCTCGCATGCCCCCCACAGCAGACCTGGCCCGCAACACAGGCATGTGCCCTGGACTGGGAATCAAACCAGCGACCCTTTGGTTTGCAGGTCTGCACTCAATCCACTGAGCCACACCAGTCAGGGATAAGTTGTACATTTTAAAATGGTACTTTAAGGTATGTAAATTATATTTCTATTTAAAAAATTAAACATGTATAGGAAAAGATATATCAGGCAAATATTAAGCTAAATAGAAATAATGTATGCTTATTAATATTGGAAATAAACTGCTGCAGGGCCAAATACCAATGATATTAAACCAGAAATAAATAAGCTCCTTATACATCAATAAAATCTTCAAGTTGCCAGGAAGGTATAACAACTCTAAACTTATGTGTAATTATTTACAAAGCTTCAAAATTACATAGTCACAAGAAAACATTAATCAAACTTGCATATCAATAAGCAGCCATAGCCACAGAAAAATATATATGGAGCCTTTGTACTAGATAAACAAATACAACTTAAGTATATACTACAGTGAACTGAACTCTAAAATGTACATTATTTTCAAGTGCTCATGGAACATTCACCAAAAACTTTCATATGTTAGAGTCTAACAGTTGGATCGTAAGGCAAATGTCAGTAGATTTCAAAGAATTAAAATCGTACAAAATTTGTTCTGTGAAGAGAATGAAATCAGACTGGAAATAGAAAGGGCACTGATCTGTTAAAACAGAAGCTTGCCTTGCACAAGGTCTGGCAGAGATTACAGGAGGCCTCCTGCTATGCTAGAAATTAACCCTTTAGTTGCAAGATGATAAGCAGTAAGGCCCAGCCATCCTGGAAAAGGCACTGAGATGATTGGGACAACTGACTAAGTGGCAGGGAAGCTAAGAAACCTGGAGCCATGCTCACTTACTTAATTTTCTGGAAATATTTTACAATTCATATGACCATACAATTGTGCACCTGTGGAATAACAGTTCTGTTTAGCAGGCCAATTATAGCATCAGATACTTATATTTAATAAAAGAAAGTCTGAAAATTAATGAACTGAGCATCCAATTCCAGAGGTTAAAAAAGAACAGTAGAATAAATCAAAAGAAAACAAAAGAAGTAGGATAGTGATAAGGGAAAAAGTTCAATAGAAAACAAAGATATACAGAAAGAATCAAAAAGCCAAAACTCAAGTATTTTTAAAAAACTTATAAGAGTAGCAAACTTCTGGAAAGATTGATCAGGAAGAAAAAAGAAAAGGCACAAATAAATAATATTAGAACAAAATTGGAAATAACTGCAAATACAACAGAAATTTTTAAAAAATATAGAGAGGGACTTTAAGCAAACAAATTTGAAAAGTGGTGTGAAATAGAATTAATTCTAGAAAAGCATAACTTAACGAAACTGACAAGTAGAAATAGCAAACTGGAGTGATTCAATAATTATTTAAAATATTATATCAGTTCGAATACTTCTTATGAAGACACCAGGCCTCAAAATTGTGCCAAATATTTAAAGAACAAATAGCTCCTTGGACCACCTCTGTCATAACACAGAATGAAAGGAAATAGTTCCCACTTCATTTTATGACACCAAAATTGAATAGAGAAATAGAGAATGAAAAAAATTACAGACCAATTTTATTTATGAACAAATCCCAAATTTCTGAAAAAATTAATGAACTAAATCCAAGCAGTTTTTATTTTTCATGGGACTGCAAGATAGTTCAACACAATAGAAAAACTCTAATGTGATTCACCTTAACAGATTAAAGTATAAAACCAACACGTCATCTCAGTGGGTACAGAAAGTCATTAATAAATAAATGAATCTACTCATTTCAAAATAATCCTATTGGCAAATTAAGAAGAAACTGAATTTCTTTTTTTTTGAAAGATAAACTGAACTTCTTTACCCTGTTAAATGGTATCTACAAAAATCTACAGCAAATTTACTCAATGGTGAAACTCAATGGTGAAAAAAAAAAGTTAGGTGGACATTGTTCAGGCAGGATGTGGCAAGTTTATTGCATTTGTGGTCTGACATAATTCAATCAATGCCTTAGCCTTGCGCACACAAAGCCCCATGCTTCGCTATTGTGAGTGGCAGAGTGAAAGTAACAGAGTCACTGTTTTTACTGAGCATCTCTATATGCCATGCTCTGGGCTTGAAGCTGGGGATATGATGGGAAAAAGACCACACACCCACCTTCTTATTTAAATAATAACATTTATTAGGTGCTTACTATAAGCTGGGCACTCTTCTAAGGGTTTTATATACTTTAGCTATCTAATCTTCACAACAACACTGTTACTAACTTCTTTTTCAGATGAGCAAATGGAAGCACAAAGAAGTTAAGAGACTTGTCCAAGGTCACAGAGGCAGGAGCTGGGACTCAAACCTAGGCAGTCTAAATCCAGAGCATCTGAATCACTGAATCAACAATACCAACAATATGGGAGGGTATTAATCTAGGTATTAATCTTGTTTTACAGTTGAGGAAAGAGAGGCTCAGAACTAAAGTGAGCACATATTTATTTTGCATCCTTTATGTGACAGAGACTGCATTAGGTGATTGATGTATATTATTTCTCCAACCTGAAAAAGGTTCCCAGAAATATAAGGACCCTAACTCTGGAGAACACAGGTATTCATAGAGGCTTGCCTGCATGCCAGCTCAACCCAACAGTCCCTTAGAAAGGATCGAGAGTGTCCGGGAGGATGAGAGTAAGATGTAATTCTGTCTCATCCAGGTTCCTAGATCTCCAAATGAGTGAGTAAAACTGCCGGTGGAGAGGAGGAGAAAGGAGAACATGAGGTTTTTCCCTCTCTTTCTCTTCTTCCTCCATCTACACCCTATATACTACATACTGTATTTAACATCCCACATCTTCCTGGATCCTCTAAGCAACTACCTCTCCCCCTGCTCTGACTAGACATGACCCTGGACCTTCTGTAGCATTAGCATAGTGGAGGCTTGGTCAGCTTGTCCTTGAGTTGTCTCAGTCCAGCCTTCCACAGCTGTTTTATCTCTGCCCACCTTATGGCTTCTCAGGCCATAATCCTTGTGCTGGAAGTAAGTACCTTGGTTCACAACTGTCCCCCATTATCTATGGGAAATGGTATACTGCAGTTTTCAAAAAATATTTTTACAAGTTTCATTTGCTTCTCCTTTGCCCCTTCTTTTTCTTGAATATTCAAAGTGAACATTACACAAACAGGCTGTCCCTAAGAAGACTGAGTGTCTTCTCTCTCTCTAGGGAGAGCAGCAAGTGTCCATATGTGCCAAGAACACAATGCAGGAGATAGGACACCCAGCCTTTCCCAACCAAGTCAGGTATAGATTTATTAGAAGAGTCTTGAGAAAGGGGAGGAGCAATACTGACCAATGACATGGTACTATTGTGTACCCAGCATCTGTCCCCAAGAAACGGTTCTAGGAACCATCACCTTATCATATCCATGCACTATCAGACAGGACCAATTTCCAAACATTTCACTGAGATCACCAAAATGGAACATTCTAGGCTAAGCACTGAACAGTTCCAAACTAGAAATGTCAAATTTCAAACAAGAAGCATTCTAAATAAGCTGGAAAGGAGGAATAAAAGTTCCTAGGCAAAAATTCCTCTGATTAAATGATCTTGACCCAATCCTCATTTCTTCTGTCTTTATCTCTCTCTTTTTGTCTTTCTCTCATTCTTTCTCTACCTTTTCTGACATTAGCCTCTTGTTATCTTACAGCTACTTTATCTAGCTGCTCATCTATTCCAATGTTCAGGTTGGGGCAGGAGTGGATGGGGGGCACGCCTTTGCTCTTTTTCTATACCCACTTTACCACCACCACCTTGAAGCCTATGGAAGCAAACCCCACTTACAGCCCCTCCTCCGTTGCAGCCCACTGCTGCCGCCGCTGTGTGGAATCCAGATCTTCTGCAACCTGGTTTGGGTGAGTTCTTCCATATCTTGAGACATCTTAGGTGTCAGAGCTAATAACACCACTGTCTATAAGATACCGGGCCTTATGGACTGGGACTTCTCGTCTTGCTAACTGCCTCTTCTGTTGCTGTGGCCACAGCAGCAGGTGGACAGAGTTGGGACAGGGAGATGAGCTGGCTTCTGAACCCTCTGGCAGCCTGTCTCCAGCCTCCTTTCCTTTTTCCTAGTCCTTGCCTGCTTTTGCTCTTCTATGTACCAGTGAGGGCTTGAGTGCAGAGAGGGAGAGGTTGGGCAGAGGTCAGCAGAGGCCTCTGAACTCTAAGAGCTGTGTACATAGGAGATAAGTTCCTTCCAGCAAAGGAGGGTAGCCAGCAAGACAGCCGAGCCACTTCCCTCCAATGAAGACAGGACTATTAGAGTATGCAAATAAAAGACCAAAGATCATGTGCTTACACCCTGTGTAGGGTGGGGAGGCAAAGGTGTTGGAAGTAGGTCTCAGTAGCTTTCACAGCTTTGAAATAAAATACAGGCCCTAGTAGAATGTCAAGTTTCCATCTGGAAACTGAGATACACATCAGAAATGCAAGGTTCCCAAGTACAAACATACATAGCCCCTAATGAAGAATGAAATATTTTGATTTAGCAGTCAAAGGCCCAAACTGGAAGTGGAAGATCCACTGCCTTACCAGACCATCTTCCCCTACAAAACGGCATTGTAACACTTGTCTTTCCCTGAATTCTTCTGCCTTTCCTAATGGACGCCCTCTCCTCTTAAAATGCGCTGCCTGAGGCACTCTTGGAGAGATGGACACTATTCAATCATCTTATGTTCTCTTCAGCCGAGGCTAAATAAATCAGAGTAAACCTGACACCTCTAGGAAGAGGAATGAGTGCAGCCATTGCTGGGGGAGAGATGGCAAGCACTGCCCACATGACTGCCAGCAGCTATCAGGTGGGACCTTATTCAGAACCTGGCTAAAGTTCCTCATGCCAAGCCATAGGAATGGAGGTTTAGAAAGGAAGCTGCAGCAAGCTGAGTATGGGGAGCAGGAAGCAATGGACTCAAAGTAGGACATCCACCCTGAGATCTCTACTTTACCCTCTTTCTTCCCCTGGTTGTATTGAAGCTTTTATGTGTGGACCTCATCTAAAAGTACAACTTACCTGGAAGATGCCCAAGTGTTCTCTTACTTCATTATTTTGCAACCTCCCCACCCCCTGGTGAACCTCTGTTGATTGGCTACCAGAAAGATCAACTTTATTCCACTGAGTTGGGTTACACAGGGGCAATCTCTTGGGGGTAGATATCTCCTGTTCCTACCCTCCAATGCTCTTAGATACACTTTGCCTTTTAAGAAGTCCCTTAAAGTACATCCTCAGTGTCCTAGTCTACGCAAGGGTTAGATTCCTTCCAGTTGTTGTGTATAAATCATACCAAACTTTCAATACATTTCACAGCCTGCCCATGTAAATGGATATCCTGAAGCAGTGGATCACAGTGATTAAGAGCAATGGGCTCTTGCACCCATACTACCCAAATGGAATCTGACTTGTGACCCTTGTTTTGAGACCCAGGGCAGAAGGCAAACTTCTCAGTACTTCAGTTTTTAAAATCTGGTAAGAGTACCTACCTGTTTATGATTGTTGAAGATTCGACATGTTAATACATGAAAAGCAACCTGGGAAATACTCAATATATATATCACCTAACACTGTGATCCCCTTTGTGAAGTAAATGGTCAAACATCTCTTTGGCAAAGGTAATGCTGAGCATACAGGAAACACTTGGTAAAGGAAATTTACAACATTATGACAAAGGATTAACATTTATAATAAATAAAGAACTACTCCCAATCAACTAGAAAGATGAATTCACTTTTACTTTTTTGGGTTTTTGAAGCCTCCTAGAAATTGTTCATCCAACCCTCTCAGGTAAGGAAATGGAGGCCTAGAGAGGGGAAGTATTTTCCTAAAGTTCTATAGCAAATAAGTCACCTCGTCAGGACTAGAACACTGAGCACTGAATTTCTCCCAGTCCAGGGCTTTTCTTTGGTTAATTAATCAATCTAGCTTGATTTAAGAATGTGGTCTTCCAGAATTAACATCATCAAAATGTCCATACTACTCAAAGCAATTTACAGATTCAATGCAATACCTATTAAAGTACCAATGGCATATTTCACAGACATAGAACAAACACTTCAAAAATTTATATGGAACCATAAACGAGCCCGAATAGCAGCTGCACTTTTGAGAAAGAAGAACAAAGTAGGAGGGATCACAATACCTGATACCAAACTGTGTTACAAGGCCACTGTAATCAAAACAGCCTGATACTGGCATAAAAACAGGCACATAGAGCAATGGATCTGAACGGAGAGCCCAGAAATCAACCCAACTCTCTACAGTCAATTAATATTCAACAAAGGGGGCGGTAACATAAAATGGAGTAAAGATAGCCTCTTTAACAAATGGTGTTGGGAGAACTGCACAGCTACATGCAAAAAAATGAAACTTGAGCACCAACTTACACCATACACCAAAATAAATTCAAGGTGGATAAAAGACTTAAATATAAGCCGTGAAATCATTAAAGTCCTAGAGGAGAACATAGGCAGGAAAATCTCAGATATTTCACGCAGCAACATATTTACTGATATGTCCCCTAGAGCAAGGAATATAAAGGAAAGAATAAACAAATGGGATCTCATCAAAATAAAAAGCTGTGTGGCTAAAGAAAAGAGTATTAAATTAGCAAGACAACCAACTGTATGGGAAAACATATTTGCCAATGATACCTGAGACAAAGGTTTAATCTCCAAAATATACAAAGAACTTACATGACTCCACTCTAAGAAGACAAATAACCCAATTAAAAGATGGGCAAAGGACTTGAACAGACACTTCTCCAAGAAGGAGATACAGAGAATCCAGAGACACATGAAAAGATGCTCAATATCGCTAGCCATCAGAGAGATGCAAATTAAAACCACAATGAGATACCACTTTTCACCGGTCAGGATGGCCATCATAAACAAAGCAACCAACGACAAATGTTGGAGAGGTTGTGGGGAAAAGGGGTCCTTAGTTCACTGTTGGTGGGATTGCAGACTGGTACAACCATTATGGAAAACAGTATGGAATTTTCTCAGAAAAATAAAAAATCGACCTGCCTTTTGACCCAGCAATTCCACTGCTAGGATTATATCCTAAGAACCCCAAAAAATCAATTTCAAAGAACCTATGCGCCACAATGTTCATAGCAGCACAATTTACAATAGCCAAGAGCTGGAAGCAACCTAAGTGCCCGTCAGTAAATGAATGGATCAAAAAATGGTGGTACATATACACAATGGAATTCTATGCAGCAGAGAGAGAAAGAAGGAGCTACTACCCTTTGCAACAACATGGATGGAACTGGAAAGCATTATGCTGAGTGAAATAGGCCAGGTGTTGAAAGACAAATACCATATGATCTCACCTTTAACAGGAAGCTAAACAACAAAACAAACAAGCAAGCAGAATAAAAACAAAAGACACTGAAATAGAGAATGGGGGGACAGTGACCAGAGGGGAGAGGGAAGGGAATTTAAGGAAAAAAAAGGGGAGGGATTTGGAGGAACAAGTATGAAGGACACAAGGACAAGAACTAAGGGGGGTGGAAATGGGAGAGAGGTGGGGAGCACGGGGTGGGATGGGCAGGGATGGGAGAAATAGACAGAAAACTGTACTTGAAAAATAATTAAATAAAATTTAAAAAAAAGAATGTGGTCTTTCAGTTTAGCTTGGAACGTTTATTCTCAGAACTAGACTTTGAAAGACATATAACTCTCTTAAATCCTAATAAGTCTCTTAATTAATATCACTCTGCTAATTTAATCTTAATAACTCTTTAAATGTATGCTTTCCAAAGCAGCAACATATTTATTATCCTAGTTGCTCCTTACAAACATTCTCCCTAGCCTCACAGGGAAACTGAGGTCTAGAGAGGGGGAGGGGCTTGTCCAAGGTAATCAAGCCAGTCACATGAACCCTCTTCTGTTTACAGTTTTGTCCTTATGATCCTGCCAAGAGGCAGAAAGATAATTTTAGCACTGGGAAATATGATATAGGGAGCTAGCAGGCTGAAATGATAAGCCTAGGATCCAGTCTTGAAAACTCATCTTAAAACTGCCTGAAATTGGCTATTTATTGATTTATTTTTACCACTGTTAACATTTCTGGTCCCAGAAGTAGGAGAACTAAACAAGCTTTATGGAGAGGCCTGAGCCTGGCTCTTGTCAGTCAAGCCCCAACCTACCTCTCCAGTATGTATCTCTTTAGAGCCCCATGCTTAAACTATGGTGGCTGACTCACTGGGCCCAAAACATGCCATGCACTAATTTTTGCCTCTGGGCCTTTGCTTAGCCTGGAATGCCTTCTCTTCCCTTCCATTCTCAGCGAGATACAACTCACTCTTCAAGATCTGGCTCAATGTTCACCTCCTCTTGAAAAGCTTCCCTGTATTATCAGGACATGTTTTGTCTTTGGTTCTCATATTGTCTATATCCTTCCATCTGTTTCAGCAAGTATCCACCTGTGTTTCACTGGTCTACTTCCCTACTAGACTGTGAAATCCTTGAGAATGAGAACTGGATCTCAGCTATCTGTGATCTCTTTTTTCAGTGTCCAGTTGAGGCTCTGGCACAGAGGAGACACTTGCTTAATGAGTGTTTGTATACTTTAAAACACCTCTTTGCCCTAGATGAGATAAACTTTTAGGAAAATAATCCCCATTTAACAAGGTAAATATTATACAGAGAGCTATGCAGGACCCTGGGTAGGGGAACTAACTTGGTTGAAGATAGAAGGTGGCATCTAGAAAATTTCTCAGCCTTGAATGGGGCAGACCAGAATACATAAAAGAAGGACATCTTCCCTGAAAAGGTCCAATTAACTGGTTAAAGAACAAGGGTTCACTCAGTACCAGAGACTCACTCAATACCAAAAGCTGAGCCACAAATTCTAAAATGGGGTTAACTCTGGGGAGGAAAAGCATTTGGTGTGACTTCCTCAAAGATCCTGATCATCCTCCCAAAGTACGAGGTTTGTTAGAGAATCCCATTAAAAGCAGTATCAAGACAGGATTGATGGGTAGCAAAATCACCAATGGGGTCTCCCTATTGGTAATTCTTGGGTTGTGTGGGTGTGAATGCATTTGGAGAGGGGAGACTGACCACATGCTTACAGGTCAGGTGCCTATATGTAATTATCAGGTCTTCTGTGGCAGCAGTCTAGGATCTATTTCTTCCTTAGCCACTTCCTTGGTCCACCACCCTCCACTACTGTCAGCCCCATGCCTAGGATCCAAGCTTGCTGCATTCTAGGTCTAGGTGTAGCTTCACAGACCATAGTCACTAGGGAGAAGAGCAACTAGAGGGTTGTGGGTGGTACTGCATGCTGAGGCTACAGAAAAGTCAGGATCACTAATGACAGGCAGAGCATAGAAGTCTTGAAATATCTACAAAGATCATCGGTTCCTGTCCTTCCATTCCTCTTCACCTCTACAAAGTCCTCTAAGGGAATAGGTTAAAGACTCCAATTTCCATTTTAGTGAGGAGGCTATTGAAACCCAGAGAAGCTAAAAAGCTTGTTCCAGTGCCACAGCAAAGCAGCCCTACCTCATACACTGGGGAAAGAGATAAAATCTCTATCACTCAGGTTATTTAAAACTGAAGTAGACCAAGTTAGAGAGACTTCTGAAAGCGCTAGGGAACTACCCATTGGGCTAGTGTCCCACAAAGACAGGTCAGAAGGATGATAGGTAGATAGATAGATATTTGGATATAGGTATTATCTTTCCCCTAACTTTCTCACAGCCTTAATGCACACTTCAAGTGACCACCTATGCAAAAACAAACAAAGAAACAAACAAATGAAAACCAAACCCAAAAACTTTCCAGACAGCCTAAAGGACAGATTTGGATTTGTGTAACTCATTTGTTCTGTTTCACCTACCTGCTCTCCTAAAGGTTTTTCTTTCCATCGCTATTTATCCCAAAACACAGTCAGTCCTCTTCTATTTAGAATCCCCAAATGGGTCCAGTGGGTGGCGTCAAAGAGGGAGCCTGGAGCCTTTGGTTGGTTTCCTGGGAAGGCTGGGGAAGTATCCTTGGTAAGAGGTGTGTGTGTGTGCTTTGTTGAAATATCAGCTGTTGTAGTTGCCAAAGAAGTTCCTGAGCCACCCGGAGCCTTTTCTCTTCAGGCTAACCATGTGTTCACATTGCCCCAAAGGTCAGAACTAATATTAACAAGCCACTGCAGAAAGGGGAAATTAAAACCAGCAACTGAGACAGGCAAGATCTGTATTTCCTTGGGGCTCAGTTTCCGACTGTTCTTCAGGGTGAGTAGGCACGATCTCTTACTGGAAAGTGATTTGGCAATATGAAGTAAGTGCAATAAAGAGGTTCATATCCTTTATCCCACTTATCCCACTCCTGGGACTCAATCCTGAACCAATAACCACCAGAGCATGAAAAAGTTCAAAGCACCAAATTTTAAATTATAATCGCAAGCTATCTTCTGATGGCAACAACTGGAAGGTAACCTTTAAGTCCTCCAGGAGGAAAAGCATCTTTGGGTCTTTTCAGCAGATATTGAAGATGATGAATCTAAGGCTACAGAATTCTGGGGGGAAAATAATTATGCTGCAATTCTGGGTGAGGAACCTAAGGATGGAAAGTTATGCTTTTCCTGGACATTGGGTAGGTTTATTATTTCTATTTTTGTATTCTGAAAAGTCATTAACCTGTTGGTGCTCTTGCTATTTTCCTTACTTTATTCAACAAATACTTATTGAATCCTGTAGTATATGTTATCCCTTATATTAGGAAATGGGCTTAACAATATGAATCAGACTGGTTATTGCTCTCAAGTCGCTAGCGTCTAGTGACAGAATTAGAAATCAGTGGTAGCTGTGCAAGGTGATAAGCGCAGTGACAGAATGGACCCACTATAGAGTGCCGTGGGGGCCTGGAGGAAAAGATCCAACTGGGGAGGTGTGTAGTTAGGAAAAACTGACTCCAGACAGTATTTCTTGAGCAGATTAAGATAGGGTTTGAAAATTGGCTCTATCGCTTTTCTGGCACTGGAGTGAATTCACGCCACCTCTCTTAGCCTTAATACCCCTTAAAGGGTTGTTCTGAGAATGAAATGAGATAATGCATTTGGAAGAGGGATAGGCTACACTGAGAGATAGTGCTGTTTTGGAGCTTGGGTAGCCCACTTAAATTCTCTGGGCCTCAATTTTACTTATCTCAGAAATGGAGCCAAGAGAATGTATTTGCCAAGCCCCGTCCTTAATGCTGTAAGGCTAAAGACAAATAACTGCAGGGCAGGCTTGAAACAGCCTCCTCCCGCCCACTTCCCCCGTCCAATAAAACTAGAGGCCCTCTTCCAAGTCTTGTTTCCACTAGGGCCCTTCTTCGTCTTCCCTCCGAGGGCGGTGTTGTTCCTTTTGAGCCCCGCCCCCCTCCCCACCCCGCGGCAGCCATCTGCTCACTAGCGGGGCCGGTGGCCACATTAGGGGCGGGGCTTCAGTGGGCGCGCGCTTCCGCTCAACGTTTATTCACTTAAAAAGTGGCGAAATTTCATTTGTAACTAATTCGAAACCCAAACAGAACTTTTGAGCGAGCAGAAACGCCGTCAGACTAGGATGCATAGGCTAAAGTGCAGCAGGAGGAGGAGACCAAGTGAAGGCCTTTTTCCCTGCCATTCATTCCTCCACGGAGTCCGCACCGCCTCCTCCAGCCAATGGGAACTGAGGAACTTGAAGCCCCGCCTCACGTGCGTTCCACCCTTCCGTGGCACGCTGGTGAACGTCAGCGCAGGAGCGGGCGGAAGGCCTGTCCTGGCGGACTGGGGAGCGTCCAGGCGTTCTCCTGTACCTGGTTCCCCGCCAGCTGAGAGGCGTTAGCGGTTGTCAAAATGTTGCGCGTGGTGAGCTGGAACATTAATGGGATCCGGAGCCCTCGGCAAGGGGTGGCAGACGAGGAGCCCAACAACTGTACCGCCATGGCAATGGCGCGCATTTTGGACAAGCTAGATGCTGACATCGTCTGTCTTCAGGAAACCAAAGTGACCAGTGAGCGCTCAAGAATCCAGGACCCCCCTACCATACTTTCCCGTTGCTGCTAACTTTTGCCCGCTGGTCCATCTTTTCTCACTTTGTCTTTAGAGCCCTCCCATTAGAGTCTAATGGGGTGTCAAACTCATTTTCGGGAGGGGGGGCACATCAGCTTCGGGGCTGCTTTCAAAGGGCCGAATGTAATTTTAGGGCTGTATAAATGTGACTACTCCTTAACAGTTAAGCGAGAGCTCACGCTGCTGCAAAGTAAAAACGAGGCGCCTGGTGGGATAAAACAAGATGGAGGGCGGGATTTGGCCCATGGGCCTTGTCTTTGTCACCTCTGCATTAGATCCTGTTCAGAATCCTGATCCTCTCTCCCCTTTAAACCTCTGTTTCTCAGTTCACCTAGATCTAATTCCCAACTCGTCTTTCCTCAGCAGAACCTTAATTCCCTCTCCCTTGCAGCCTGTAGCCTTGCTCAGATCTTCTAATTCCCACTCATTCTCCCACCCCAAGTCAGCCCCTATAATTCCCCCAGACTCCCCAATTCCTCCTTCCTGCCCCCAGCACAGATCCTTTCATTGCCACGCCATCTTTGCCTCCAGATTGGACTCCCTAATTTTGCCTTTTTACACCTACAGATCAGATCCCTTGTTCTCCTTATCTCTACTCCCATCTCTCCTCCCCAGCTCAGAGCCTCCCATCATTTATACCTCAGGTCCCATCCCAAGCTTAGTCCTCCTAATTCCCTCTCCCTCCCACCCATCTCCCACTCCCAGCTCACTCTCCTGATTCCTTCCCTCCCCACACACTGCCTTCTGAGACTCCCTAACTACTTTTCCTCCCATCTCCAGTTCAGGTCCCTCTCCTTTTTCCTATTCCCAGGTCAGATTCTCAGTTCCCTCTCCCATATCCCCATTCCCCACCACCAGCTCCCTCCTGTCACCTAGTCACCTCCCTCCCACCAAATTCTCCACCTTACATTCAATAGTTCCCCCCTGTTTCTAATTCTGATATCAATTACCTCTCTAGTCTCCACCTTTCTAGCTCCTCCTCTAAGATACTTCAGTTTCTTTTTCAACTCTGACTGAGGTGTACAAGGAATTAACCTACATCTGTAAATTTGGGCCTTTGTGTGTCCTGGGTCTTAGTTTTATCTCTAACATGATCTTTTTTTTTCCCCAGGGGATGTGCTGACAGAGCCCCTAGCTATCATTGAAGGCTATAACTCTTATTTCAGCTTCAGCCGCAACCGGAGTGGCTATTCTGGTAAATGGGGGTTTCTGGGGAACTTGAGTGATAAAAGTAAGTAGGGGTAAAGGGTTTTTAATATTGGATTAGAAGGTAATAAGAATCATAGGATTGTAGTCTATAGAGCTAAAGCCACATAAAATTATGTGTAAATTTTTATGTATGAAATTATGCTTTGGACCTCAGAAGCACAATAGTGTGGTGGCTAATTGTATGAGCTCTGGAGCCAGACCACCTGGGTTGAAATCCTAGCTGACTTCCTAGCTGTGTACCCTCTGGCAAGTTAACCTCTTTATGCCTCAGCTGGAAAATGGGGATAATTCCTACCTCCTGGGGCAAATATAAAGATAATGATAATAACTAACACTTGTTGAACACTTACCATGCATTTGTGTACAACACTTAGAACATTAGCCATTGTAGATGCCAGGATTGAGATTTCAGGGTTTGAGTAGAGTTTCCCCAGGTTCTAGGGAGCCATAAATGGTCTTTGTGTTGGGAGAGGTGTCAGTACAGCACACTTAATGAAAATGAACCAGGTGACTTGTATGGGGGCAACAGGCTGTTGGCTACCAGGCCTGCTCAGAGTACCCTGTCTGTCTCCAGGTGTGGCCACCTTCTGTAAGGACAGCGCTATGCCAGTGGCTGCTGAAGAAGGCCTTAGTGGCCTACTTGCCACTCAGAATGGGGATGTGGGTTGCTATGGAAACATGGATGAGTTCACCCAAGAGGAGCTTCGGGCTCTGGATAATGAGGGCCGGGCCCTGCTTACACAGCATAAGATCTGGTAATAGCCCACCTCCCCCTGTCACTGAGCACTGCTGGTTTTACTCTTTTGAGTCTGGTGATTCTGAGGCTAGCCTTTATATCTTTCCAAATTTGCCTTTCCTGGACTCTCGTCCTAGTTGGGTTACTCACTACATGACCCTGGGCGAATCATGTCCCTTCTGAGCCTTGAGTTCTCCATCTCTACAGTGAGGACTGGGAGGTCCAGCTCTCCTGTTACCACAGCCAAAGGCAACTTAGCCTAGGCTGAACTCATTGCCCCAAGATGCTGTCTCTCTGTGTGTCCTATCTTTGTGAATGGCAACAATCTCACCTGATTTACCTGGGTGTCATCCTAGATGCCCCTCTACTTGCTGCATCCATAGTCAGTTCCCAAGTCCCGTGCATGCCAGCTCATTCATGTCTTTCTGTCACCTTTGCACCCATTTCACAGATAACATGAAGTGAAAGCCACATTGTGTGGGAAGGAGAGGCTTGAAAATGACTTTTTTTTCTCTGGGGGTGGGGGTCTCTTCTTCCCAGTACACGAGAAGGGAAGGAGAAGATCTTGACCCTAATCAACGTGTACTGCCCCCACGTCGATCCTGGGAAGCCTGAGCGGCTGGCCTTTAAGATGCGCTTCTATCGCTTGCTGCAGATCCGAGCAGAAGCCCTCCTGGCAGCTGGCAGGTACCGCAAACCTGGGCAACAAGGCTTCCTTGAGTTTGTCTTGTGTGCCCAGCCCTGTGTCAAGCTCCATTGGAAGGGATATGGGATCTTTGTCTTTAGAGGTTTTTCACAGCCTGGTTACAGATACCAGCATGCCTACCAGAACAGTCTCTGCTCTGTAGAGCTGTGAGGAACAGGTAAAGTGACACAAGTATGGGTGTTTACTCAGATACCTCTGAGCACCAGTCCTGGCTCCTCCTTATACTCACTGGAAGTCCCAAGGCCAGTCCTGCCTCTGTTTTCTCTTTAGTCAAATGAATGGATGAGTCCCTACCTCACAGAATAGTTTTAAGGATGAAATGGGATGAGGAATGTAAAGTTCCTGGGAGCAAATGGTAAGTGTTATCCCAGGGAGGGACAGGAAAGTGAGGGTGGGTTAGAGTAACAAGGGCGGCTTCCTAGAAGAAATGGTACCTGAGTTCACCTTCGAAGGACCAGAAAAATACCATTAGGTAGAGAGATCAGTCAGAGTCATGTCAAATGGAACAGTGTCACCTTTGGAGATCAGAATCAGGGTGCTCAAGAGTAAAAGGAGCAGCGTTATGATAAAATTGGAGAGGTAGGCGGTTACAAGTTGCTGCTGGCTCTCACCTTGGCCTCAATTTGGGAGGTGGCCTGAGCTCTTGAGCCTGGGAGAAAGTAGGTGGGCTAAGACTCCTGCTTTCCTCTTGAATGTCCACTCAACAATCCCACCATTGTGTTTTCCAGCCATGTGATCATTCTGGGTGACCTGAACACGGCCCACCACCGCATCGACCACTGGGATGCAGTCAACATGGTAAGTCTCCCTCCAGGGCCCTGACCTCACTCCTGACCATGGTCCTGTTTAGCCAGCCAGCTAATGCTGGTTTTATGGGCCAGGCGCAGCTTCCTTTCATGGGAAAGCTGAATTTAGTTTGAAATATTATTCTCAAAGCACAGAGGATTGTTTATTCATTCAAAAGACATTACTGACCCTACCTGTGGCCTAGCCCTGAGTCACCTCCTGGGGACCCAGTTACCACTCAGTTTGCGCTCTTGGCCCCACAGAGCTCTCAGCATGGCGGTAGGCTATGGACACATGACCAGCCAATTATAGAATGGTGTCTTCAAGGCAGAGGCAGAGATGGCAGTCCAGGCAACTAGGGAGCTCAGAAATGGGATTCCTGGGCCAGCCTGGGTATCCGGGGAGGTATCTGAAAATGTCTGAATCTTAAAAGATGAGTAGAATAGAGCTTTGGGGCGAGGAGAGCAAAGGATTCTAGCATGAGGAAAGGGTGCACATTGAGAATTTCCTTGGTGTGCTTAGGGAACTGCAGGTCCCATTCCTATTAGGGGGCGATGTGGGAAGGGAGATGAGTGGGAGGAGATGGGGCTCCTTTGGGAGCCAGATTCCAAGGGCCTTGAACATCACATTGCCTTGATCATTTTCCTAATACAATGTCTCCTGCTCATGAACCTTCAATACCTCCCTGTTACCTCTGTGATGCAAGAAAAAACATCTAGGCCTGGCTCTCAAGGCTCTTTCTGCTGTGTGCCCAGTATCTGTTTTTTTGTTTTGTTTTTTGTTTTTATCTTCAGTATCTTTACACACTGTCCACTCTAGCCAGGCCATCTTCTCTCTGCCCATTGAAAAGTTATTCTGATTTTGGCCTTTCTCACTATGCCCTGAATTGGTGGTCATCACCTGGCTTCTCTCCTTTCTTGTATGAACCTCTTATTTCCGAGTCCCGCTTGGCCAATGATTCTCAATACCTGACATCACATCAGAACAAGGAGCTTTTGCAAAAAATATCAATATCTTGACGATTTAAATCAGAAACTGCCAGTAGTAGTATGTTCTAAAAGCTCCCAAGCTGATTTTATTGTGCAGTCAGGGTTGAGAACTACTGCTCCACAATCTATAAGGCTTTCTTGTCTTGCCTTATTATGAGTTGTGGGGGGGATTAGTAGTTTATGCTGGTACAGTTCAGCTCAGCATTGAGCTTGGCTCAAAAAATGCTGTAGGAAGATTTTTTGATTAGTTTATGGAAGACCCATGTAAACATAAATGAGCAGAAATGAGATAATGGTGGCGGTGTGCTGGGCACGGGGGTGTACACTGCAGAGTATGAGCCTTTAGTCCCTTGCTGCCTTACTCCTCATTAGGCATTTACTTAGGCTGTTCTTGCTGCTTCCTGTGATAGTGTCATAGACCTTTCTGCCTTCCCTCCTTAGTTCAGAACTCTTCTAGATCTAAGCGCACCTCCTACCTTCTTTCTTTCAGGACAAGAGAACTAATAGTACCAGGTCACATGATAAACACTGTGAAAACCAGCAGAATATGTCTACTTCCCACATCTCCCAAAAGAGCACTGTGATCTCTTTGGTTGCTCTCACTGGAAGCCTGGGGATTGTGTTAGCATTGTGCTTCTTCCCCCCGCCACCCTTCCCATATTTAGTTGATCAGCAAGTACTATAGAGTATAGCTCCAAATCATCTCTTAATTTCATTTTTCTCTGTCTTTGGTACTACCTTAGTCTAAGTGGCCATCAACCCTTGCTTGCATGAACTAAAATAGTCATTTCCTGCTGGTTTTCTGGCCCCCAGTTTGGTCTCCCTTCAGATTTTCAGGTATGGCGTCCCCATGCCTCACAGGCCTGTCACAGAGGCTGTTCTCTCAATTTGTAACACCCTCCGCCTGGGTTAGTCTTGCTCAGCCTTTACTTTTCAGCTCCAGATCACCTCCTAAAAGCCTCATTGGTCCCCAGAATGAGATCAGGTTCCCACTTTGTCCCTAGCATCATAGCTGGCACATAATTGGTGTTCTTTGATCATTCGTTGCATTGAATGAGTGAGTGGGTGGATTGGATGGATGAATGAATTGGGGAGCTGAGTCAAAAGAAGTATTCAGACCTGGATCCCTGCAGCCTGTCAGTTCAGGAATGAGGGATGGTCAGTGAGGGCTCTAACACAAAAATAGGACAAATAGTGCCAGAGTATTTAAATAAAAGGGCAGCAGTAATCTTAACTCCAGGCCCCATTCCTACTTTCTAATGGCAGCCACTTTGAACATTCTAATTTTCATTCTTTCCATGAGCAGTTCTAAGGATTGCTTTGATTAAGCAAACAACGTATCAGTAAGGATAGAAATTGAATCCCAGTGCTGGATTGTGTGATCTTGAGCAGTAGTCTTGGGAACAACCACGTTTTCTTATCTGTAAAATGAAGTAGTCAGTCCCTTCTAGTTCCAGGCATCTAGTTCTGCCTCTCTCTTCGTTCTCCTTCCCCTTCTCCAGGAAAACTTTGAAGAGGACCCAGGACGCAAATGGATGGATGGCTTGCTCAGTAACGTGGATTGCCAGGCTGGGTACCACGTAGGGGCCTTTATTGATAGCTACCGCTACTTCCACCCAAAGCAGGAAGGGGCCTTCACCTGCTGGTCCACACTCACTGGTGCCCGCCGTCTGAACTATGGTTCCCGTATTGACTATGTGCTGGGGGATAGGACCCTGGTCATAGATACCTTCCAGGCCTCTTTCCTGCTGCCTGAGGTGATGGGCTCTGACCATTGCCCTGTGGGTGCAGTCTTGAGCGTATCCTCTGTGCCAGCGAAACAGTGTCCATCTCTTTGCACCCGCTTCCTCCCCGAGTTTTCAGGCACCCAGCTCAAGATCCTTCACTTTCTAGTTCATCTCAAACAAGATTCTGTGTGCAAGCAGTCAACACAGCAGCTTAGCAATCAAACCCAAGTACAGATGCGCCAAAACAAAGCCCGCATTCGCTCAGCCAGGCCTCGGGCAAGTCAGGCTGGCTCCATCAGAGGCCAAAAGAAACTGATAAGCTACTTCCAGCCATCTTCCAGCCATCCCCAAGCTTCTCCTAATTTGGAGCTTCCTAGCCTGGGCACCCTTGTGACCCCAAAGACCCCAGAAGACAAGGTGATGGCCAAAGTGGTGGAGGGGCAGGCCAAGGTTTCAAAGTCCAAGGATGAGAAGGAGGTACAGATCTCATTCTGGAAGTCTGTGCTAGGGGGCCCCTTGCCCACACCCCTCTGTGGGGGTCATAGGGAGCCATGTGTGATGCGAACTGTGAAGAAGCCAGGACCCAACTTGGGCCGCCAGTTCTACATGTGCTCCAGGCCCCAGGGTCCTTCCACTGACCCTTCTTCCCGCTGCAACTTTTTCCTCTGGGGCAGGCCCAGCTGAACCAGCCCAGGCCTAGGGATTGTGGCTTGGTCAACCCTGGGCATGATCTGAGGTTAGCACCTTCCTAAGCTGTCACCTCTTCCCCTCTCCCTCCTCCCCCTTCACCTTCCTCAAGGATCCTTCTGTGTCTCTTCCTCTAAGTCCCCTCTTCCTGCCTGTCTCCTCATTGGTGCACTTCTTGTGCCTTAATGGTGCTACGTAGGCCTCCACCCTGCTTCCCACCTTCCTGTAAGAAGTACACAGAAACCACTTGCCCCAGGACATTTTAAAACCCTTTCCTTCCTTGCTGGGAAATGTATGTGTGGCTAAATAAAGCCTTTGTCTGTGTTTTAGTGCACCATGTCATTTGAACATTTTGGATATGCTCCATGAAATGTTATCTCAACACCGGGTTTGCTAACTGCCTGTGGCCTGATGATATAACTCAGGAAGAAGATAGGAAGGAAGAGTGGTGCTCACCATAAAGGGCTCTGCTGAATTGTAGGGTTTCCTGCACTGCTGAGGTTGGCTTAGCAAGGGAGGTGGGTGTGGTGTGACAGAAAGCTCAGGTGGGCTGTGCAGCCGTAAAGCAGCACTTCCCAGCTGGTATGTCTTAACAGCTGCCATAAATGGCTTACAGGGTGGAAAGAAATGAGTCTGTCAGCTCTAGAGTTGCTAGGCAGGGTCAAGAATTGCACAAGGGTCAGGAGAGCTTGCTTCCTAGGCAAGTATTATCATTAGTTCACCCAAATGTGCCATACAAATGTTTTCTTTGTGCTGTGAACTGGTAAGGTTGGGAGCATTGCCTTCAGCAAGTTGCTTGCTATGGTCAAGACTGTTTCTCAGCTTGTAAAATGGTGCTGGTAAGTCTTGTTCTATAAGGTGTTATGGGAACAAAAGAGGATAATGGATTGAAGAGGGCATCCATCCCTTCTGCTGGAAAATATCTCCAAACGTTTGGTGAACTACTCTCTTCCGGGTAGTTGGTGGGAGCTGACTCTATCTCCTGGCTTCAGGGATTACCTGAGGCTCAGGTTTCCAGGTTGACCAGTGAGTCAATCCCTGGATTTTTCTTGAAACCACTGGGTAAGAGCCATTTCAAATAAACCTGCCATGTGTCTCAGGTCTTTGTTCAACTGACTCTGTGGTTTTTGCTCATCTTTCTGGATTTCAGTTTTCCTGTCAGTAAATTTGGGTGGTCAGAGCAACAAGCGATCCGTGGTTTATTGATGGCTCTGCCACTTGTCTTAGAGTCAGGTATCGTGCAGTTTATTCTCTGACCAACAGAGGGCTACAAATGCTGCAGTTTGCTCTTTATTTGTTTTCAGACTCAAGTCAGCCAGAGGCACACAACAAAGCAGAGGACAGGAAGAGGCCCAGCCCCGAGTGGAATGCAGATAGGGTGGGGTTCTGAGGCAGCTGGCTTCTCATGCATAGGTGGTGACATACTGGGGGCCCATGTTCCCGAAGTAGGAGCGTTCCCACTCACTCATGAGCTCGAAGTGCACAGGACGGTGACAGAAATTGCAGGCAGTCACAGACACATCCTGAAGGGGCAGCCCCACCTCAGTCCAGGCTGCCAGCAGCTTCTCTGAAGGTAGTGGGAGGAGAAGAGGGAAAGAATTGGTTAGACTAGGTTTTCTTAATCCCTATATCACAGTACAGATGTGCCAAAATACAGATCCCTTGAATCCATTGAGATGGCTTAGAACCAGAAGTAGCTCCTGGTTTGTGCCATTGTGTGTTATGAATGTTACTATTTGTGTATGGGTCCTGTGATGTGTAAAAAATTTGGAAGCATCTATTTGACACAGTTTATAGCCGTACTGGCCTGGCCCGGACCACACTGTAAGTACAGGACGTGCTGTGGCCCAAGAAATGAATACATCTACTTGGAAACTCCTAGCCTGGGGAGGAAAACAATACCGATGGTAACTGTACAGTGTTATTGTTGTGACCTGGGAGCCTGGAGTGGGGAGTGTCCTGGAGGGGATAGGAACCCAGAGGAGAGAACCTGATCCCACTGTCAGAAGTGCCTCAGGTGTGTGCCACAGCTCTGCCCACGGCTTTTTAAATGATCGCTCCCTGTGAAATCTCATCCATTCTCATGGTTTTAAAGACCATCTTTATGCTGATGATTCTGAAATTTTCACCTCCAGCCCAGACCACTCTCTTGAATCCTATACTTGTATATTCAGTTGCCTTCCTATATCTCCCATGTCAAATCAGCATCTCTAACTTAACATGAACACAACTGAGCTACTGATCCTTCGTACCCTCCACCAAAGCCTACTCTACTTTGAGCTTTACCCATCTCAGTTAATGGCAATTCCAATTGCTCAATCCATAAATTTTAGAGCCATTTATTTTTCTCTTCCTCTTACTACACATCCAATCTATCAGCAGATATCATTGGCTCTGTGTTCAAAATCTGACCACTTCTCATCACTTCCAATGCTATCATCAGGCATGAGCCATCACCATTTTTTACATGGAATTTTATAATAGCCCCATTGGCTCTCCCTGCTTTCACTTTTTCTCCTTTTCAGTCTATCCTCAACATACAAATTGGAGCAATTTTGTTAAAACCTGAGTTAGATATGTCACTGTTCTGCTCAAATCCTTCAAAACACTATCCATTTCAGAGATAAAGCCGAAATCCTTCCAATGGCCTACAATACCCTACAATATACCTTGGCCCATATTGCCCCTCAGTCCTCATTTTTCTATCTCCCTCTACACCACTCAATCTACACTCATTGTTCCTCAAATACAAAAGGATTTGTATTATATATATATATAAAATATATAATTTGTATTTATATATATATATATATATATATAGACCCTGTGTTAGGGTCTTTACTCTTAGGCCATTCCCTCTGCCCGGGATGATCCTCCCTTAGATATCTGTCTAGCTAACTCCTTCACCTTCACATTTTTGCTCAAGTGTCATGTCAATGAGCTCTATCCTTAACACTATTTAATGCTACAACCCTCTTCCAATCTAGCCCTTGTCCCCCTCACCTCATTATCACTTCCCATCCCTCCTATCCTGCTCTATTTTTTTCATAGTGCTTAGAACTACCAGGCTATGTACAATTTGACACTTGAACAACGTGTGAGTTAGTAGCACTGAACCCTGCACAGTCAAAAATTCACGTATAACATTTGACTCCCTCCAAACTTAATTACAGTCCCTCAGTATTTACAAGGGATTGATTCTGGGATCTCCCATGGACACCAAAATCTGTGGGTGCTCACGTCCCTTGAATAAAATAGTGTAGAACAATGCATACAGTCAGCCCTCTACATCCGTGGATTCCCAACCAGTAATCAAAAATACTGTTTTTTCCCATGGTTGGTTGAATTCACAGGTGTGAAACCTGAGAATACAAAGGGCCAACTAATTTTAAAAAATTACAGAGAGGGGAAGGGAAGGAGAAAGAGGAAGACAAACATCAATGTTTGAAAGAAACGTTGATTGGTTGCCTCTTGTATGACACCCCAACTGAGACGGAACCCACAACCTAGGTACGCACCTTGACTAGGAATCAAACCAGCGACCTTTCACTTTGTAACATGATGCGCAATCTACTGAGCTACACTGGTCAAGGCCCCACTTTATTTATTGAAATAAATCTACATAAGTGGACTGGCACCATTCTAACTTGTGTTTAAGGGTCAACTGTAATTTACTTATTTTAAAATGTTTTTTGACTACTTCCTTCCACCAGAATGTAAGCTCCAGAAGGATAGGGATTTTTGTGTCTGTTCTGTTTACTACTGAATCCCCAGCACCTAGAACAGTGTCTAGCACACAGTGGGTACTCTATAATAAATATTTGTTGAAAGAATGAAAGGATACCTGATTAAGCCAAGAAGATGAAAGGAAAGGAAGTAAGTCCGAGGAACGGTTTGAGGGAGAGCATTCCAATTAGAAGGAAGCGTTAATTATCAAAGTCCCAGAGGTAAGGGAATAGAGCAAAATGAGGGAGCTACAAGTCATTCAGTGCAGCTGTAGAAATAAAATTAATGTGGGGGAAGAGGTGAAGATACAGAGATCATGATGTTGAAGGCATTGAATGTCATTCCAGGGAGCTTTGACTGTTCTATAGACCAGTAGTCTCCAAGTTTCAGACTATACATTCTATCAGTATAAACATTTTAGCATGTACTTCCTATCTATGTATGTTTGTTTATATACTCTTTACATGTATCATTGTCAGTCTATATATTAAAGATCCAAATCAGGAATGCTTAATTCCAAATTTTTAAGATAAAAAGTAAACATGAAAGCCTAGGTATGCTGTTTAGTTTCCAGGACTTGTAAGTAATAAACCTGTACCTTTAAAAAGTTCCAATACCCTCACCCTATGGATTATTTTGCATACCTCCCTCCCACTGGAGACCACTACTCTGCTCCAGACAATAAATAAAGAAACATGAAGAGGTTTAAGCAAGGGAGCTATGTAGCTACATGGTCAGATGTTTACAAAAAATCCCTCTGTGGTCAGAATGGAGAACGGATTAGAAGGAAGCAAGACAGAAGCAGATAAATTAGGAAGAAATCACATTGATAAGGATTTAAAAGTTATAAATGGAGACAAGAGAACAGATTTGAGAGAGATTGTAGAGAACATTTGCAAGATTTTAAGATGGTTTGGCTGTAAGTTTGAAAGACTTGTAGAGCCATGGTAGATACCACTCATACTTCTTTCCAGAAAAAGCCCAGCATAAGTGGACACTCAGTGAACTGAGGGTGCCTAGAGCTCTATAAGGGAAGCCTAGGTAAACAGAGAGGACTGAGGCAAAGCTCCAAAAGTCTGGGTCATCAGCTTAAGCAGTAGCCTGAGTGCTTATAACCATGGCAGTAGATACAAACTCCCCAGTTCAAATCTAGTAACTGTGTGACTTAGGCCAATTACTATATATTTTGGATGCCTCAGTTTCCCCATATGTAAAATGGAAATGCTAATAATAATCATCTCTACCCCATGAAGATTAGATGAGTTCATACAAGTAAAGTTTTTAGAATGGTACTTGGCACATGATACTTAATAACTGTTGGCTAACATTATCTGATGTTTTTAATCAATGAGTGAGTGAATGGCAACTACCTATCTTGCACGCCTTGAACTCTCATACTGTCTGTGCTCCAGACAAGCAGAATGACTGATGCCATTGCATGCTCTCTGTTTTCCTATCTCTGGGTCGTTGCTGATGGAATTCCCTTATTCTGGAATGTCCTTATACCACACCACATACACTTCGAGGTGCTACACAAGGACTTCCCCGCACACAGAGCTCCCTAATTTCACCCTTCCTGCTCTCTCTAGCCATAAACAAGCACTCCTTCTCCAGCTCCCAGTGCGCTGTAGCTTATCACACTAGACTAGTACAATCCATGCCTATGCCTGTTTCCTCTGCTAAACCGTCAACTACCTACATGTCTTTCACCCAACAGACCTTAAATGAACACCTTCTGTATGTCAGGCCCCGTGCTTAAAAACTGCTTCCTGTAGGAATCCAACAAGCTTTAGGTGAATTGACTAACCTGCCATCTTTCAGGATAAAAACAAAGCTATTCAGTGAACACTATAAATCTCTCCATCCAGGCCCTGTTTTGTGCTGTCTTTATAGACTCATAGATTGACACTCCCTTCCCACTCCCTACTGTCCTCCATTTCTGTACCACCTGCTGCTGTTCTTGATTTATCCCAGGCTGCTTCTCACCCACCCCTTGCCTTTCTTAATGTTCTTCCCTCTACTAGGAATACCCCTCCACACCATCTTTCTTCTTGTGGTCCAGTACCATTCACCTTGAAAGACTCAGCTCGGGTGTCATCTCCACTAGGAAGCCTGTCTCACATCGCATATGTTGAATCAGGTCCCTCCTCTCTGTTCCCATTCACTGTCCACATTCACTGTCTTTGCTGAACCCCTTGAGATAATTGTTTGTGTCTGCTATGGCCTCCTCAACCAAACTGGAGCCCTACAAGTCTAGGGACTGTTTCTCATTCATTGAGGAACCTAGTATAGAGTTTGGCACATATTAGATGTTTCAGAAATATATTTTTAAAGTGAGTGGCATCCATTCTCTCTGAACTTCCTCAAATCCTGAGGCTGAAAGGAGGGAGAGTACTATAGGCAACAATGTCAAGAACTTACCCACAAAGTCTTCCATCATCTGAGGGCTATGATGGGGGGAGGGTGCCAGGCGCAGCAGCTCCTCACCCCGGGGGACAGTTGGGTAGTTGATGGCTTGCACATAGATGCTATGCTTGGAGAGCAGGAGATCACAGATCTTGCTGTTCAGTGCTGCATCACCCACCTGGGCTCACAAGAAAAGCCTGTCAGTATCTGCAACACTAGCCCCACTATTACTAGCTTCATGAAGCAGTTGGAGGAAACAAGATAAAGGGACAGCACTGAATTTTTGGACATAATTTTTTCATAAGGGGCTTAGTAGCAGCTCCAGAATATTTATCAAGAAGTTGCTTAGAGGCAGCAATCAAATTTTAAGGAGTGGAGTGGAAGTGGTGTTAGAGATCTTGTCTTAAAGGTGTTTGTAGAGCAAACATACTGGTTTTACTTAGCTCATATGTTAATTTGGGGTGGTCATGGATAAGAAGACAAAACCCTTAAGCCCCCTCTGGGATGCTGACATTGGGTTAATTAAAAATAAAAGATATTTACAAAAGCAGTCTTTCAAGGGAATATTGGGTTGATCCAAAGAGCAGTTACTATTTTTTTCTCATCCATAAATCAGCCACATAACATTATCTCCCTACACCCTTACCAACACACACAAATAGATGTTGTTTAAGAAAGAAGTCACAGTTCATTTTTAAAGCCAGTAAATACTCTAATGTAGTTGAGAATTCAAAATACCAGCTAGTTTCATGGCTTTTGATTTTAGGTTTTCTAACTTCAATTCTTAGTAAGAATACATTTCATGCCATGATCATACTATGCATATATACACATACATACATACATACATACATGTGCATATAATCATATAAAACTGAAAATTCCCATGAAATAATATCCTAACTATATGCGATGTACTTCAACATTTTCTTTATTGTTTTCTTTGTAAGCAACTATATTTATAGCCACTGTATCATGGGTGCGATAAGTAAGCCAATGGCCATTCCTTCGTAATATACGAGAATTTTCATCATGCATAGTTTACAGGCTCATTAACAGGCAGTTTCTTTAAGAGGATGGATGTTCAAGAAATACTTGTTAATGCTAGTCATAACCTATTAAGATGATGTTATGACTCACAAATGGTCTTGATGCACAGTTTGAAAAACACCGAATTATGTATACATCATGAAAACTCAATATTGTGAGGGTCAGGACAGTCTAATAGGGATGACATAATAGCTAATGAATGGGAAAAGAAGACTGATTAATTCAGAATGTCTGATAACGTTTCACAAATGGTTAACAAGAAAGCATCAACAATAGCTGGTGTCAGTTTGCTGGGTATTGGAAGGTTTCCAGAAGAGATAGAAAGGGAGGGCAATGGGAAGGGTGGGGCTCTCACCCGGATGGGTATGATGTGGCTGGGACAGGGGATAACAGGAAAGCCCCTGTCCATTAGTAGCTGGCGCATGTGTTTGACATTGCGCTGGTGGGCCCGCCTCAGGGCTTGGCCCTCCTCTCCCTTGAGCAGCCGCACAGATTCCAGAGCCCCAGATAGCACCATGGGAGGCAGTGAAGTGGTGAAGATGAAGCCAGCAGCATAGGAACGCACCATGTCCACCAAGTCACGGGTGCTGGCGATGTAACCACCCACACAGCCAAAGGCCTTGCCTGGAAACAAGGAGGAGGAGGATATGCACAGACCCTATTATCAGTCCCCAAAAGAACAGGATCATGCCCCAGGTAACAAAAAGAGGTGCACCAGAAGCTGTGGCTCTAGACGCCAGAAGATGGAGCTCTAGACTCCCTTCCCAGGCCTCTGGTTCAAGACAGGAGAATTATTATCACCAAGAACTGATAATTCTGCTGCTTCAAGATAGGACTTTCAAGGCCTGCCATATGCAGTGACTAGATAGGCAGGAGCTGGGTGGGGATCTTAAACTGGTTAGGCCCAAAAGTGAAGCTAAGATGAAGCTTGGGGTTGAATGGGAAAGGAGATTAGAACTACAACTCTCCACTTACTGAGTAGAACCTGGCTATTTGGCCTAGCTGAGGGGTCATCTTAAAAAACCCAGATTTTTTCAGCAACTCTTTAGAGAAGAGGGAGTGAGGGAGTCCAAGAGTTTTATAGCCTGAAACTGTGAACTATACTCAAATAGTGCCCACAGCTTTGGGGAGGAGGTAGTAAAGGATCTTTCCAGGGCCTCCTTTCTAGATTGTACATAAGGCAAGTCCAAGTCACTCACTCACCAAGAGTTCCAGAAATGATGTCAATTTTGTGCATAATTCCATCACGTTCCCCAATGCCAGCGCCCCGGGAACCATACAGTCCTACAGCATGAACCTCATCCACAAAGGTTAGAGCTCCATACTGGTGGGCCACATCACACAACTCCTCGAGGGGACAGATGGCACCTGAGCAAAGTCAAGGAATAGAGATATCATAACCCTTCCCCACTTCCAACTCCAGTGTGGAATTTGTAACCCACGACTACTTTGGGACTACTTCAAACTTCTTTATATGTATTGACTACCTTCACTTCACTGCTACTGAAACTTGTTGTCTCTCTCCCCGCCCCCCTTCTTCAGGCTATGATCAAGTCTTGCTTCTCTATTTTTTTTCTATTTTTACTTTATTCTGACAATATATGTTCTCTTGTTTATGCCACTTTCCAGCCTCTCTTTGCTTCCTTTTCCACCCGGCAAGTATGTGTATATCCACTTAGAGTTGGCACTAGCCTGTGTATATTTGTTTTTTAAAAGTCACCTTTTACTCCAGATTAATGTAGTCCTAATTTCAGATCCCACTCATTCCCTCAGCCAGGTACTGGCAACCCTGTCAATATATTTATTCTTCACTTGTCCTCCCTGTTTCTGTCTTTCTATCACTATCTCTGTTTTTGTGGCCATTTCCATCTTTGTTTCGATACTTCTATTTTTCTGTCTCAGCCTTATTTTTCTGTCTCCCCTCCCATTCCTTCCTCTTTGTCTCTCTGTCTCTCTTTCCCACCCCTTCCCTCCTTCACTTGTTTCTCATTGTGTCCCTTTGTCTACCTCTCTGACTATCTCTCTGCTTCAGACTTTCTTTCTCTATACCTTTGTGTCCCTTTCTGTGTTTCTTTGTGTCTCTGTCTATGTCTTTTCTGTGTCTCTGTGGGAGTGTATTTCTTATCTCTCTCAATTTTTTATATGAGGGGACCTCTCCACACACAGACTTAGTCTCAATCTATTGAATGAGAGTGAATTAAAAATGATCTGTAAGGTCCTCTCCATTTCCATACAGATGACCATTTCTCCATGTTATTCTAGACATCTTCTATGTTTACGGTTGTTTATAAGGTTTTCAAATGGTCGTGAATCCAATTTGTAGACTTTTTGGCTACTCTGCATATATAACAACCTATACCTTGTCCATTCCTGGAAACTACTGAGATGTAGAGAGCTAGAATACATACGAAATTTTTCATGTGGAAACAGGAACTCCATGCTAGGATCAATGTGAGCAACTGGTGGGAACAACAGCAGGAGGTATAGCCCAAGACAAAAGGGACAGTGTGATGGCTCAAGCATCAGTTCAATGGGAGAAACTCTGCCCTGCGATTGACAGTTTACACAGTTTCCATAAAAAAAAAAAGAAACCATTCTCTTGCAAATGTAAAGATGGTCCTAACACAGTTTCCACTAGAGAAATAGTGAGTTAGAGTAATCTCCGTAGTAGAAATATAATCATGGGATTGTTTTTACTTTATTGCTAGTTGTAGAAATGTGGGAGTGGGCACAACAACTTGTTTTTTTTTTTAAGAAAAAGATATTATTTATTTACTTATAGAGAGAGGGGAGGGGAGGAGAAAAAAGGAGAGAAATATCGATGTGAGAGAGGAATTTCAATCAGTTGCCTCTTGCACTTGCCCCACCCCCCCCCAGCAACCAGGAGACCTGGCCTGCAACCCAGGCATGTGCCCTGACCAAGAATTGAACTGTGACCTTTGCTTTGTGAGATGACACCCAACCAACTGAGCTACACTGGTCAAGGCATAAGTTCTTTACATATATTAATTCATTTAATTCTCACAGCTACTTTATTATTATCACCTCCATTTTTCAAATCAGGCAACTGAGACAGAACCATTACAAAACTTGCTCAAGCTAAGTACCATATTTTGCCATGTATAATGCTCACTTTTTGCCCAAATTTTTGAGGGAAAAATAAGGATGTGCATTATACATGGGTAGAACCTGAAATGCCTTGTATCTGTTCTTGTGTTTTGTAACTATTTCTGTAATCAATGTTTTGTACCATAATGTTAAAAAATAAATGCTAAAATTCTTTTATAATAAAAAATCCTAATAATTAGATTTAATTCAATTAAAAAATTAAAATGAAAGATTTTTTTCCGAAAGTTTGGGCAAAAAACGTGGGTGTGAACTATACATGGGAGCACATTATACATGGCAGGTGAGTTGTCATGCTGGGATTTGGAAATGGGTAGTCTGGTTGCACAGACTTCTCTGCCTTACCATTATACAATGCAGATGGCACATATGCTGGCTAAATCAGAGGATACTATGGACTCTCTTTTGTGTACATTGGAAAAGTAACAAATTGAATTGAAGTGAGAAGCTCTTCACTTTAGAAGGTGTGGTCTAAAACAGGATTTCTGCTCAAGAGGGCCAACAATAAAATGATTTGGGCATTGCTTCAGTTGGGGGGAAAATGAAGTAGGAGTGTAAAGATCATTTATTTCTACTTAGATCATAATAAATGGAATGACTCTCATCATCTCTAATGCTTATAACCAGATATTTTACCTTTGGGTAAACTGAGGCTCAGAGAGTTAAAGAGTTATCCAAGGTCATAGAGCCAGTAAGTGCCTGAGGTGGGATTTGAACCCAGATCTCTCTGATGTAAACACATGTTTTGATTCCAATGCTTCATACTGGACATTGAAAAAACTTCCAGGCAATAATTTGTCAAATTTTCCATTGCAGAAGCTAGACACTGAGATAATTGATGTGTGTACATCATTTATCATGGAGGGAGCCTTGTGTGACAGAATTGGAATCATACATCCTAGGGTGCAAATTACATCACTCTGGCACCAATTACTAAAGTCAGGAAAGATAAATTGAGAGCTGTGTTCGAACTTTAATTTCTTAATCTGTAACATCACTGTAATAGCTGCCTCTGTGTTTTGGCATTTACTGGCTGTGTGATCTTAGGCAAGTTACCTCATTTGTCTGTGTCTCACTTCCCTCATGTAAATGAACAGAAACAATAATAGCACCTACCCCCATAGAATTGTGAAGATCCAGTAAATTAATATATATAAAATACTAATGATTTTGCTTGGCATGTAATTAGCACTCTGTAAATGTTAGCTGTTATCATTATCATCATGGTTTTTGTGAGACCAATGTTAGTAAACATACACTCACGCATATACATACCATCCATGGAGTGAACAGTCTCAAAGGCCACAATTTTGGGTGTCTCAGAGTTGGACTTATTTAGAAGTCTCTTCAGGTGGTCAGGGTCATTGTGCCTGAAGACAAACTTGGCTGCTCCACTGTTGCGGATACCTTGGATCATTGAAGCATGGTTGCCTGCATCTGAGTAAATCTCACACCCTGAGGAACCAGATGCATAGTTCATAAGTTTCTGTCCCAGAATTCCCACTTTAACCTCAGGACTGACCTGGCAGGGGTAGAAGAAAATCCCTTTCCTTCTTTTGAAGACCCTGCTCTGCTTCCTCCTCCTCTGGAAACTTTCATGACCTCTTGCTTCCATGGAAGAACTCCCCTTTACTAAAATTCTGACCCCACAACTTTGCCTGTGGTCATTTCGAACCCTAGTCTGGCCTCTGACTTTCTTCAAGTAGAGGAAATTTAAATCATTTCCCAAGAAGCTCTAGAGTTTCCTGAGGACAGGGCCTAGGTTCCTTTTCTTAGACATAATATCAAGCCTTAGAAAGGAATTGATCCCATAGAATACTTGTCGATTTGTACTAATGCTAGATTCTTCTTAGTCCAGATGAAATCCCACCTTTTCCAGGTAGCAATCCTCTGCTCACAAGGTGGATAATTATCAGACTTTCACAGTTTGAATAATAAACTCGTGGCACATGATAGCTTAAAGGACCATTAATGACCATGGAATCCAGTTCCTTTAATGTACAAATGAGGAAGCTAAAGTCCAGAGAGGGGAAGACCTTTCTCTAGAATCTGAGGAATGTAGGACTTTTTACTGGGAAATACTGGAAGGACAGGTAGAGTGGGGGAAGTCGGTGGAGGTAGTTGAATCCTGGCCTACAAACTGCACTAATATCAAGGAACTGTGGATTTCGTTAGAGCAAGGTATGACTTCTATTTGAGGAAATCAGGCATGATTTCCTGGTGAACCTATTACAAAGAAGTAGACTGGAAATTTCTTAAGAGCAGAAACCACATCTTTTTTATCTTTCTGTTCCTGATACCCAGTATAAGGCTAGGTACACAGTAGCTGATCAATAAGCATTTCTTGAATAAATGGATGAATAAACATAACTCATTTACAAGTGAGCGAATGAATATATAAACGAATATATTATTGAATGAAAGAATGAGAAAAGGGGTATCAAAAATGAGGCTTAAGAGGTAAGTAGAGGCCAGATTATTTGGGGCTTCAGAAGTCATGATACAGAATTTAGAATTGGTCCTAAGGGCAATGGGGATCTGTGAAAGGATTTTGGACAGGGGAGTAACAAAAATGTGCTTGTGGTTTTTTTAAAAAATATTTTATTTATTTATTTATTTTTAGAGAGAGGGGAAGGGAAGGAGAAAGAGTGGGAGAGAAACATCAATGTGTGGTTGCCTCTCTTGAGTCCCCCGCTGGGAACTGGCCTGCAACCCAGGCGTGTGCCCTGACTGGGAATCGAACCGCGATACTCCGGTTCACAGGCCCGCGCTCAATCCACTGAGCCACGCCAGCCAGGGCTGTGTTTGTGTTTTTAAAATATCATTCTGCCTGATGTGAAGAACGGATTGCAGGAGGGCAAAGGTGAAATCAAGAAATTTAATTGGTCTAGGCTAGGATGTTTGCAGTGGAAATGAAAGAAGTTGAATTGTAATGATTGAGGAGGAGATTCATTAAAAAAATTTCAAAGGATGTTGGACTGAGTTGGGGTCATGTGTAATCTTAGAAAAAGCTTCTGAGAAGCAGTTGTTATGTTTATAGTGTGCTAAATAAAGAATCAGCAGGAATTGAGGAAGGCATATTAAGTATGGAGACTTCTCTCAAGCAGTTTGCCAGTTAAAAGGAGGAAAAGGGTAGGGCAGTAGCTAGAGCATAATGAGGGGAATTTTTTGTGTGTGAGATGCAAGAGACTTCAATATGTTTAAAGAAAGGGAGAGGCTGAAGATATAGGAGAGAAGGAACTTTATAGATCAAAGTTCTTGAGGGGGTAGAGGGGTATGGGACAAAGAGCACCAGCAGCAGAATTTGTCAACAAGGAAAAGGGCATCTCTTCCACTGTAACAGGAGAGAAGAACGAGGAGAGGGCATGTGGAGATGCTAATGTGGGTGAAGTGGTGGTGTAGAAGAGCTGAGAATGAAGATCGGCAAAACTTCCTTGGAGACTTGGAGAACTGACCATGGAAACAGGATTGCCAGAGAGCATAGAGAAGCTGTTATAAGTTGGGGACTATAAATTTTTAATAACTCCCATCTGAGCAATTACATCAGCCCAAGATTGACAGAGAAGATGAAAAGTTATATTCATCTAGGTTTGGGGGTATGATGGAAGGATGACAGGCATGTGAGTTGAGGATATTATTGACCGGAAAGTGGGAGAGTGGGAAGGTGGGATGTTACTGACTAGAGAGTAGGAGAGTGGTAAGACAGGATCCAGTGTACAAGAGAAGGGATTGGCTTTAGGCAGGAGGGATATACCTTCAATGTGTAAAAGAAAAGAATGAAAGAATAGATGAACAATTAGACAGATTTGTAGGTTTGGTGGCTATAAGTTAAAGGAGTCCCTATCTGGTGGCTTCTTTTTTTCTTTGTGATGTATGATATAAGGTTATTTACTAAGAGTGAAGGAGGAGGTAGTCACAGGTTTTAGAAGAGGGAAGAAAGTTTTAAAAAGTGGATTTGGAGACATAAAATGACTGTTTGTGAGAATTAAGAGCCCAGTTGAATGGGGCTGACAAATTTATTGTGTTACTCTTCTGCAAAGTTGGGTAACATTTCTTAATAACGGTCTTTAGCCTCTGTATGGAAGAGGAGAAAGGAGAGGGGTATAGTCGACCAGTGAATGTTGAGGATATGCAAGGTAGGTAAAAAAGAATGGCAACGGGAGCAAGTGACTCAGAATAGAGGGAAGGAGTGATGAAGACAGTGAGACTGTACGCTGTAGTGCACGATACCAGCCCTGAAAAAAGCTTAGGCCTTAGGGTTACCTGGCAGGATCTTGGCCAAGGTGAAAAGAGTAGAATCATTTGCCACAAAGCAGGAGGAGAAGAGCAGGGCTGAATCCTTCTGGTGCAGCTCAGCCAGCTCCTGCTCCAGCTCCACATGAAATTTACTGGTACCTGAGATATTGCGGGTACCACCAGCTCCAGCTCCATGACGCTGCAGGGTCTCCCTAGTCAGGAAAAAAGCAGAGGAGAGACAAAGAGGAGAGGAAATCCTTGTCAGACACTTAGGAACTGAGTAGGTTCTCTTCCTCAATTGGGGTCAATGTTGACTTAGTGGTCCTGAGTGAGCTGTGTCCTAAGTGGCCAAGTAGAGGGCAGGAATGGGGTGGGGGGCACGAACCCTCCTTTTTAGGCTGCAGGCACTCTGGAATGGAGGGAGAAGGTAGGTTGAGCTTCAGCAGCTTGGAAGATTTTCTAGAGGTCACATACCATCTCTGGAAATACTCACTCTACAGCCAGAGTGAGAGCTCAGGGACAGTGGGCTTGCTTGTCCTTTCATCCTATTGTCTATATCACTGGACAACCAAGAGTTTAGAAAATATGGTTTGTTGACTGACTTAGTTCATATCATATCTGAGGATTAAATATGCTGGAGGGCCTTGTACAGCAGGAGTAGTTGGTGGAACTCAGGTTTCCACTTCCAGCTCTGCTTTCTCTTTCCACATGTGGCTTTGACTCTTCTCTGGATTATCCCCAGAGCTCATGTCCCAGACACTACTACTCACTGTGTGGCTTGCAAGACCCGAGGGTGCCTGCTCATGCCTAGGTAGTCATTACTGCACCAGACAGACACATCCTTTGCAGACACAGATGTTTCAGGGAAGTGTTGGGCAAAGGGGTATGCATCAGCCCAGCGATTCACAGTCTTGAACACACGGTAGGTGTGGTCCTGCTTCTTCTCCATGATCTTGTCCCTGAAAAATTGCTCATAACCAAAGACGTGGTTTCCTGCAGGAATAGAGATGGGGATGAAAAGAATTCATTTAAAAATCACTTCCTGGCTAGTCCATACTTCATGTATGCTATTGATTTTAACTTCTCTAATCTTCTTTACATTTATCCCTTTATTTGACCAGTTAAGAACTTGCAGGGACATAGTAACTCTCCACTACTTCATTCAACCATCCCTTTGCTTACTCACTCATTCACTCAATAATTTATTTATAATTCACTCAGGCTTTCTACCCCTGGCATGAACTCATTTCTTTTTCTGAGGTTAGTGTGGAAGCCTCCCTACTGGAATCACTACTTTCAGTTTCAGTGGAAAGAGTATTGACAGATCTAGTTTCAAGTAATTACTCTGCCACTTCCTACTTGTATGACTTTAAGTCATGAATTCTCTCTCTTAGATTTAATTTCCTCATCTGTAAAATGAGGCTAATAACACCTTCATGCAAGACAGAATGTAAAACCCCCAAACTAATATCTGGCATATATAGTATTGTTATGACTAAAATAATAGTAGTAGTGGTACTAATAATAATAACAACTAATATTTGATCATGTTATTATAGCCAGCACTTAATTGCTGTCTATTACATGTTGTTCTGTTTTATGAAGTTTACACCTATTGCTTTATTTATTTCTCACAACCACCCTATGTGGAATGTTCTATTAGTATCTTCATTTTAAAGGAAACCAAGGCATAGAGAAGTTAGGTAACATTTTATTTTGAGGTTAAGTAAATTGACCAAGGTCATACAACAAGTAAGATGTCTACAAGTAAGTAATCTAGAGCCCATTACTTTAACCACTACCATTGCAAAATGGGGCAGCCCTACTTTCAGAATAAATTGAAATAACACATGCCAAAGAACTTGTTAAACTCCAGAACTCTATATATGAGCCAGAAACCATGATTGTTGCTGATAGTAACTTATGAGGTAGGGGTGTACACTAGTAACATGTTTTGCTGCAGGTATATTAGGAAATATGTATTAAAAAGTTGTTAAAATGTACAGACCAACATACCTAGAGAAACTTTGTAGTACATTTAACAGAAAAGTTACTGATATCCAGAATTTATTTTTTATAAGTTGAAAGACTGCTATGAAAAATTTTCAACCCAATAGAAATGTAGGCAAAAAATATAAACTGAGAATTTAATAAATGTAGAAAAATATGCTTAATCAGGGAAAAATCAAACTGTATAAACACATTTTCACCTATCAAACTGATAGAGTTAAAAGTTTTATATTATCAATTGCTAGAGAGAATGTGAGAATATAGATACTTTCTCTGGTAACTGGTACAACACTTTGGAGGGCTAATTGGCAGTATTGACTAATATTGAAAATGTACATACCCTTACACCCCGAGAATTTCTACCTCTTAGTGTCTATCCTAGAGAAACACTAAGCTACATGCATGAGGAGGTACAGTTAGTGAGGTTTGTTTCACCACTGTTTGTAACAGGAAAAATTGGAAGCAACCCAATAGAAGAGTACATAAATTATCTGAAGTATATTCATAGTAGGTCTAAAATAATACTATATATTCTATGTGGGTACATTTTATGTATGTAACACCAGCAAACAATATGAACTGGAAAAATATGCACAAAAACTAGAAACAATAGTCTGAAATATAGGTGTTTGATTAACTGAATGATGTTGTATCCATGCTACAGAAAAAACTTCAATTCTTAATAATTAGTATGCAGCTCTATGTTTAGAGACATGGAATGATGTCCATGAGACATAATTAAGTAAAGAAAGAAAAGTAACGAGCTGTGGGTAGAATAAAATCATATTCCTAATAAAAATATGTGTAGACGAGAATGTAGGAGGTCTGTAGGTGTGTGTGTGTTTAGTCATGGAAAAATATCTGAAAGAAAATATTGCAAAAAATAATGGTGGATAGTAGAATTATGATTTTAAATTTCTCTCTTTATACTTTTCCTGTATCTGATAGAAAATATTTTATATTTGAATCATATTCCTCTTATATTAGAGAAATAAAACAAATTCCATTATGAAAATGGTGATAAACACACACGAAAGAGGGAAAAGGCTCTCTATGAAGGACAAGAATTTCTGAAAGAAGCATGAAAAAGAAATAATAACAATAAATGTAATATTTAATAAGGCCTCATATAAAACTAGAAAAATGTCCATAAATGTAATTTTATTTCTTCCTCATGTAACCTGTAGAAGCAGGTGTTATAATCCACTGAAAGGAAGTGAATTACTTGCCAAAGCACGCAGGTCCAGCAAGTGCAGCATTAAAATTTAAACTCAGACTCCCTTTGGTTTCATAGTGCTTCCTTGCCATTTCCTCTACTGTGTCAGAAACCATTTCAGCACTCCTTCCATATTTCTACCTCAACACATTCAGAAGTCGTGTTGTTCTGTAGCAGGTATGTGACCTTCTCTGAAATTTGCTGTGGCTCCTGGGAACTGGAGAATGGATTCCTCAGGCTGGTTGAGGGAGCTGGGCAGGTCTGACAGGGAGAGTGGGATTCATTAGCCATGAAGGTGTGTGTGGGGGGGGGGGTGCAAAGAAAGCATTTGTTGTCCTTTTTAACTCAAAAGAGCATACAATAGTTCAAGTTTATAAAGTAGATAAGCCTTCTGCAGAATAAAAAAAAAGTTCTGCAAAGTGAGCACTTATTCATCTACTCAGGCGGAGACTCCTGTGTCAGGAAACCTTCCATAAGGTGAATCACACTTCTCTCTACTAGAATTTTCCCTTGGGTGAGGTAACTGGGGCAGTCAGTCTGGGTCTTGCATGCAAGAGTTAGATACAGGGCAGTATATGTATCTTACTTTTCTTTTCTGAATGTCATTAAAATTCAATTTTGAAAATTTTACCCATAATGATATCCCAAAAGGGCCTAAGAAAGATGTCAACAATGTGATCATGTCTCAAGTGTGATTATCTTGAGTGATCAGTACCATTTGAGTTGACTTGGGACTCCGTATCATTGTATAGTATGTACCTGGTTCTAACACTTACTCTTCCATGTAAATCCAGATTGTCATAGACTGGTATTGCTTAAATGTGGGATCTCATCCTGTTGGGACCCATTTATCCACTGAGAGAGAAGAGGAAGAACTCTAGAATCTCATTTTAGGTTAATGGCCAAAAGTGACTATTAATTGCCTATCTATGTATATGTATTGGGAAGGATGAGCTTCAGTGCCTGGTCTAAGCTATTGCCTACCATGGTTCCTGTGGAAAAACTGGACTCCCCATCCTGAGATGCATACTAACTGTCCTTAGATTAGCCTAGCTCAGGAGTGTAGTGAAGTGAGTTCAAGTGTGAGGAGTAGAGGTTGGATGATATGGAACTTGACTCCAACCTGTCTTGAAAGTCTTCACATCCTCCTGGACTTCTGGGGCTGCCTTCTGCACAATCTTGCTCTTCCCATCCTGGAGTTCTGAGAGCATGAAGGGACAGTGGCTCTTGGCCCAAGATGGAGAGTCTATGGAAGGTAAGAAAGTAAATGGTAGTGCATTTCTAACCATGAGTTCAGTATAACAATTATTACTGAAACCTACTGTACCCCAAAGTGCCATGTTAAGCTATGGTAGAGACACATAGATGGATGAGCCTGGTCCTGGTGCTATGGGAACCCCTAAACTGATAGTAATGGCACACACTGAAGATACATTATGAACAGTGCTGGGATGGGAGAGAGGACTTATGCTATGGAAGTCTAGAATAGGGAAGACACATGATCCAGAATTGGAATTGGACTGGCTGTATGTCTATGCAGGCTGTGCAAAGGAGATGAAGCACAAGTTAAATGTCTCATGAGAAATATGGGATACTCTGGTAAAGAATATGGAAGAGGATCATTTGACAGGAGCAAAGGCTCAGAACGTTGAGATAACAGGCAATTTTAAATAGTTTCAGAATGACTGGAATAGATAGAGTATGAGAGGCATAAAGAGTAAGACTTTAGAGATACTGGCAGAAGTCAGATCCCAGAATATATTTTTAGGCCATCTCATTCTGCTTTAACACTTTTTACATAACCCCTACCAATTATTAAGCGATGATGAATAGTATGACTTGGAATCTTGTCTCTAGGACATTCTCCACTTTTTCCAGTAGCCCCTTCTTACCTCCTCCAGCCTTGGTTGCCTTAAGGTGGATTTGAGAACAGGTAGGTCCTTGGGTGGCCAGGATGGGGCAGCATCCAATACCAAAAAGGAACTGGTGAGTCTTAATCACTTTGCTCAGGAGGCCTGAGGGGCCACGGGCAAGTACTGGGCAGCGCTGTAGCAATATGGCTGCTGCCACCATCTTGATCCCGAAGTCCTGCAGAAGATGTGGAAGAGATGAGATCCCATTATGAATACCTGGCCTAAAGCTAAAGGTCATTCCTGTGTTTAATCCTTTGCCTTTAGCTTCTGACCCAGTGCTTGTCCTTATTGTCCTTTCAGGGTAAGAACTTTCCCACTTTTAAAATGTACCAATAGGGCATCAGAAAGGAAGAAGAGACTGACTGTTAAACAAATATATGAAGGAAAGAGTTCCAACTGGAGGTCGGAAAGCCTGAATTCTGATTCAGACTTTGCCACTGATCCCTCTGTGATGCAGAGAATCACGAAGTGTGATTATGTATGGCAGGATGGGAACTGATAACCTACTGAACCTTTAAATCAACACTTAAGGCCAAGAATATTGGCTTCATACAAGTGGAGATTAAACCTGACAATGCACACAGATATGGTTGACCAGGGCTTGTGAGCCTCAACCCAGAGTTTTCCCTGAGCAGGCTCAGGCAGAGAAGGAGAATGAGTTTGAAGTCACAGACACCATCTTAAGTACATTCAGGGAATAGGACAAAAGAGCAGGCTCTAGGTCCTACAGAACCTGGAATTCCAAGCTGTTCCCCAAGACTGGAATTCTGTTGTTCTTTGACTTGCCTCTGCAGTTTGGAAAAGCACAGATAGAGAAAGAGGTAAAAGCAATACCCAATAGTTTGGGAAACAAGTCTATGGGTGAATGAAAGAGATGGAGACTAACACAGAGGAAAGAAAGGGGACAGAGAGAAGATCCTTAAAGAGAAACCAGAAACCAATGTCACCCCAATAAATTCAATAAACAACAAGCAAGCAAACAAAGAAAAACCCAAATGTACATATAGGTATTCAATAAGTATTTGTTGAATCTGGAAGTAAATTAATGAATGAACACGGACTCAAATAGAAAAAAGATGAGAGTAGGGGAAGACTCAGGAAAAAAGAAAAATAGGAAAGATAAAAGAAGGAAAGTGAGAGAAAACAAAGGTAGAGTGGCAGTAGTGGATTTAGAAGTACAGAAATTGTGGGAAAGAGATCAAAGCCAGAAGAGAAAGGGGCAGGGTACAGATAAGAAAAAGGAGAGGTGGACTGTTCCAGAGAAACAGAGGACAAAAGGATGATGGGAAATACAAGATAGGGGAAAAGAATGAGCTGAGAGAAACAAAGAGTGGAGAGAAAATGGGAGGAAGGTATTATGAGGGAGGGAGGGAAGGAGGAGAGATATTAGTGAGAGAGAAAGAAGAGGTAGAGGCAGAGACAGAAGGACACGAAGAGAAAGTGAGATCAGATCAAGGAATGTACAGGAATATATAGACTCAGAAAACTGAGAGCAGGAATGGAGAGAATCTAGCAGTGGCAGAGTCAGTCAGGCATAAATATGAAGGAGAAAAGCATCGGGAGATTGTGGGAGTCAGGGAGAGCAACAGAGGAGTTAGGAGAAGAAGGGCTCTGCCCTGATGAGGGAGATGAGATAGTGACAGGAGGGAGTAGAGACAAGGTCAAATGATAGAGACAAAGAGGTAGCTAAGGTGGATTAAGGGTTGGGATAAAGGAAGGCTGAGAGATACTCAGAGAAAGACCGCTAGAAAGAGCAAGAGGGAGGAACAGATTAAAAGACAAGGGCAAACTGGATATCCAACATCAGTGGATCAAAAGACAAGATATGGGACAGGCAAACAGGAGAGATATGAAAGAATGTGGGAAGACTAAGGCCCTGGCGCCATCAGGACAGCAACTGAGCACTAAAGGTGCTACTAGATATAGAGTCTTATGTTATGAGGGACGAATGAACAGAGGGAACTCGTGGCCCTGTTCTCATATGGCAACCTCCTTCACCTCTTACAAAGCAACACCCCTCCCTTCCAGATCTCACAAAGCAAGCATGCTCTCCCTAACTCACAAAGCAATCTCTTCCCCTTTTTACACCCCAAAGAAAAAGCATCCTCCCTCCAACTCTCACAGGCTGTCATATGAGCAAAAGTTAGTATCGGGGGCAGGGCATGTGGGTCCTGAAATTGGGAAAGGACAAGAGGGTATTTAAAGAACTAAATGAAGCTCACCATATTAAGCCTTTGAAGACAGTGCCTGGCACATAGTTTCAATAAATTCTAGCTTTTTTTATTTCAATTCCAACTCCCCAACTCCCTATTGAGTATTCTTGAAAAGTCACTTCCCAACTCTGGGTCTCAGCTTTCATTAGCTGTCAAATGTAAGGTATTTATACCTACCTTGAATGGTAGGTAATGAATTGGATCCAATTCCTATATCGTATCTGGAGGTATGAGTTTTCTTTTCCTTGCCTGCCTGCGAAGGTTAAAGCACTTGAGGCTGGGCCTGCAGAATGCAGATAAAGCTCCCAGAGTTTATCGCCACTGAGGTCTGACCAGATGAGACCAGGGTGTGAGAGAGAAAGGGAGCTCCTTTCCAGAATCACCTCTGGGCATCTGGCTGGGGCTGACGCTGGCTATTGGTGGTGAGGAGGGGTGGGTAACCCAGGGAGAGGCAGGCAAAACAGATGGTTAGGTTCTGGCTCCTAGAAACTCCTTTTTGACATAAACACTGACAGTTATGACAACAGTGGGGCATGTAATGGTAAGGAAAGTAGCAGAGATTGGAAGCAAAGTCAAGTCCCACTTTTAGATGAGGGTGGATTAAGGCCTACTCTCATCTCCTTTATAAAAATGGAAGAGGTACAATATACTCATCACCTCTAATGGGCTTTTGGCCACATTGTTCTCATAGACCTAGAAAAATATAGACTACTTCTTGGAATTTGTTGAACTATCATGTTCTTTCAAGCCTCAGTTCCATTTTCTCTGTTCTTATACTTCTTTCCTGGAATTTATCTTGCCTCACTCTGCCAGTCCATTTTTATGACCCATAACCTTATAGTCTAGTTACCTTGGGCTCTGTTTACATTCCATCCTGCTACCTGTCATTGAACTGGAGTGAGTCAAGTTGAATAAAAGTAAACTTTTAGCAATTTAGGATATTAAGAACACAGCCTCTGGAGCAAGACTATTTGTTTTTTAATCCTGGCTCTACCACTCACTAGCTCTGGGACCTTAGAAATATGACATCTCTGCTCTGTAAAATGTAGACAATAACAAGGATGTTCTATTTCACAGGGATGAAGATTCAGTAAGATAATCTATATAAAATATATATTAAGAGTGCCTATCCCATAGTAAATACCAAAAAACTGTTAGCTATTATTTTTATTTTCTACATTTCCTGTGTAGGGAAAGTAAAGGTACAGCCAAAGGAATTTACATTATGAATACACCAGACTAGGTCTGCAAAGTTGATTCTTGTCTCAATCCTGATTCTTGTTCTTATCTGTTAGAATTTACTATATGAATTTGGGCCCTGTACTTTCCATCTCTGGGCCTCAGTTTCTCTACAGAGATTAGACTAGAGAACTTCATAGATTTTCATCAGATTCTAATAGTCACACACTCACAGAGTACTCATTGTTAGAAAAGCTTCACATGCATTGACTTATTTAATCCTTGTGACAACCCTGTGAGGTAGACACTAATATCAACTTTATTTCAAAGATGAGGAAACTGAGATTCAAAAAGAGTAAATAACCAGTCCAGATCACAGAGCTACTAAATAGAAGAACCTGGATTTGAACCCAGGCAATCTGGTTATAGAGCCTAGTAACTTAACTACTGTGGATCTATGATTCAAATATTACTACATGTACTCTTGACTGAGATGCCAACTCCAGAGGTCAATGTCCTCTGCTGCACTAGGAGGTCTCTTTCTGGGATACTTGATTTTGACCTGTGATCAATGCCTTTCCCAAAGGAACAGATTTCTAACTGAAGCAGAATTTCAGGCACTGGTAAACATTCATTCATTCTACCACTTAACTTATACACCCATTGTGTGGCAGTCCTTGCCAGGGGTATTCTTAAAACAATGCTTTTATTCATAGAGATAATGGTAAAATTTGGGGTCAAATGACTAGAAGGTTTTCCTTGCACCTTAAGATCCTCGCTCATGTCAGCAGCCCATCTGTAATCCCAGATAGCAGAAGGCCAACCACAACTTTACTCCAGCTGAGAGCCAGAAACTACTAACTTTGGCATTCCTTGCTCCCTCTCCCCTTAATGGCCTGCTTTGTAAGAATCAGGTCTGAAATAGATGCATTCACTTCATCTCAGGAATTGGAAGCATCAGGCTTTATTTCCCTTCCCAGCACCCTCTCTCCATCATGGAAGATCATAGAGAATTTTAGATAACTGGAAGCAGAGAATCAGAAATTCTTAGAAACAAAAATTTAGTAGACCATAAAATCAAAATTCAAAGAGGCTGTGGAAATCATAGACCAACCAGCTCTCTTTTCAGGTCTCACAATGAATTAGGGTGAGAATACAAATCTATTGACTTTCAGCATAGAGCCCTTTCAGTGACACAATATTCCTCTTTCGCCCTTTCCTCCTTACTTCTGTTAATTATTCATCTCTCAATTCCTTCACATTTATCTCTCCCTACACAGTTCATTATTTCCATTATCTCCACATTCTCTTCATTTTTTCTTCCTACTTCTGCCCCCCTACTATCTGACTCATTGATCTCTGCAATCAGCCAAGCAGAGTTAAGGAGTCAAAGTGAGAAGAAATATGAAGATGTCTTTTCAGGGAACAGAAAAGGAGAGGAAGAGAGAGACAGAGACTGAGAGATACAGAAAGAAGAAAGAGATGGAAAGCATGAGATTGAGAGAGAGAGAGAGGGGATACAGACAACTCAGATGAAGAAAAAATAAGAGAAAGCTAGCGTGTCAGAGACTGACCTTGAAAACTGACAAAGGAGAGGAAACAAGGGGGAAAAGACAAAGGAAAGCTGAAAATGAAAAGCAGGAAAATACATAGGGCAAAAAGAAAGAAAATAACAGAGAGACAGATTCTAAGAAACAAAGTCAGATCTAGACAGGCCAGAGAATTGGCACGTGCAGCTTTGAGGTGGGAAGACAGACCAGAAAGAGGGCTCCAGACTGAAAGTGACTCTTACCTGTTGCCCTGCACTGAGGACGAACGAACGACACAACGGGGAGGGTGCTATGGGTCAGGACCTGGTATTTATCCCTTCCTCCTTGGCTTGGCTCCACCCACCCTGCCTACTGCTGGCTTGGCCCTGCTCAAAGTTATCTAAGGCCCTTGTTAGAGATAAAACCCTATATAGTCCCTTCTTACCTCCTCTCTCCCTCAACATTGGCTCTCCCCTCTCAATTTCTTTCTTTTTTTCCTCTGCAGTAGTAAAATGAACTTACTGGGCTTTGGAATCAGGTCATCCAAATACAGCTAAAACACCTTGAACAAAATTTCTCACTGGATGATGTTCCATGGTTGGGTAGACCCATTGAAATTGCTAGCAATCAAATTGAGACATTAATTGAGAACAATCAATGTTACACCTCACGGGAGATAGCTGACACACTTGAAATATCTAAATCAATAAAGTCATTGGTGAAAATGAAAAATGTGTCTTTTATTTTATGGAAAAAACTAAACAGATTTTTGGCCAACCCAATAATTAATTTATAAAGGAAATGAGCTATGGTACTACAAAAATATACAGAGGAACTTCAAGTGCATATTGCTAAGTGAAAGAAGCCAATATTTTAAAAGTTCCCTCTTTATTATTATAACTGTAAGATGATCAAAAAGACAAAACTATGAAATCAAAATGAAGATCAGTGATTACCAGGAATTTGAAGGTGGGGGAGGCATGAGTCACTCAAGCACAGGGGATTTTTAAGGCAATAAAACTATTTTGTTTGATACTGTAATGGTAAATACATGTCATTGTACATTTGTCAAAACCCCTAAAATATACAACACAAAGAATAAACCCTAATTTTCTGGGCTTCCAGTCAAATGGCAGTAAGGTAAATGCAGTACTCCCATCCTTCCACAACCACATCAAAATTACTACAACTAAACTACAGAACAACCATCATTCAGAACCACCTGAAATCTAGCAGAATAAAAGTTCTACAACTAAGGATATAAAAAAGAAGCCAAATCCAGGCTGGTAGGAGTGGCGGAGATGAAGAACAGGATGATCCCAGAGCCCTGCTATATCATAACTGAACCATAACACTATGAAGCTGTTTCACAACAATGATGTTCTGCAACTGTGATGTATCACAACTGAGCTGTTTGCAATGAATAAAGTTTACTTCTTCACAGTACTCCAAATTGAGGATTCCTGTTGGCATTGACTTGGTGCCAATGACCATCATTTAACAATATCAAATCAAAACACTTTATAATAAAAATTATATACCAAGTCCAAGTGGGATTTATTCCTGGTATGCAAACATGATTTCATATTCAGTAATCAATCAATGTGATCCACCATAACAACAGGATAAAGAAATAAAGCCACATAATTGTATTAATTGATGTTAACAAAAAAAAAAAAACCCTGACAAAATCCAATATCCATTTATGACAAAAGTTCTGATTAAGAATAGAAGGGAACTACATTAGCTTGATAAAGACCATATACAAAAATCAGTAGAATTAATAAATGAATTCAGTAAAGTAGCATGCTACAAAATTAAAATATAGAAATCTGTCATATTTCTATACATTAATAATAAATGATCAGAGGAGAAATTAATAAAACAATCTCATTTACAATCACACCAAAATGAATAAAATACCAAGTAATAAATTTAATCAAGAAAGTGAAAAACATGTACTCTGAAAACTGTCATTAAAGAAAAAAATTAAAGACACAACTAAATGGAAGGATATACTGTGCTTATGGATTAGAAGGATTAATATTGTTAAAATTACCATACTACACAAAGCATTCTAAAGATTCAGTGCAATCCCTATCAAAATACTATTGGTGTTATTCTCAGAACTAGAAAAATAATTCTAAAATTTATATGAAATCACAAAAGACCGTGAATAGCCAATGCATTCTTAAGAAAGAAGCTCAAAGCTGGAGGTATCATGCTCCCTGATTTCAAACTATAATACAAAGCTAAAATAATCAAAACAGTATGGTACTGGCACAAAAACAGACACATAGTTCTATGGAACAAAATGGAGAGTCCAGAAATAATCCCTTGCTTATATGGTCAGTTAATCTATGACAAAGGAGGCAAGAGAATACAATGGAGAAATGACAGTCTCTTCAACAAGTGATGTTTGGAAAACTGGACAGATACATGCAAAAAGAAATGTAACTGGACCACTCTCTTACACTATATACAAAAATAAATTCAAAATGGATTAAAGACATAAATGAAAATCAAGGGTTCTATGATATGAAACCATAGACATAAATGAAAATCAAGAGTTCTATGATTTAAAACCATAGAACTCTTAGAAGAAAAAATAGGTAGTAAACTATTTGACATGTCTTGGTAATATTTTTATGGATATGTCCCCTGGAACAAGGGAAACAAAAATGAAAATAAACAAATGGGACTTCATCAAACCAAGAAGCTTCTGCACACCAAAAGAAACTACCAACAAAATAAAAAGACATCCTACTTCATAGGAGAAAATATTTGCAATGACCTATCTCATAATGGGTTGATATCCAAAATACAGGGTCCGGCAGAAGTAACACCTGCTTGAATGTGGTTGCTGGGGTAATAATATGGGTATAATAATTTATAGCTTTAATTTGAACATTTCACCTAAAATTTCATATGGTGTGCTTAAGTGTAATATTGTTATATTACAGAATTACATGCTTATGATTTTGTAATAAAAGATTTTGTAATAAAAGGGGTACTGTTTGTGCCAGACCCTGTATATAAGGAACTCATACAACTCAAATAATAACAACAAAACAAAAAGCAATTTGATAAAAAATGGGCAAAGGACATGAAAAAATATTTCTCCAAAGCAGACATGAAGACAACCAACAAACAAATGAAAAGATTCTCAATATCACTAATCATCAGGAGAATGCAAATCAAAACCACAGTGAGAAACAACCTCACACCAGTCAGAATGGCTATTAGCAAAAATTTAACAAATAACATATGTTAGTGAGGATTTGGAGAAAAAAGAACCCTAGTACATCATTGGTAGGACTTAAAACTGGTGCAGCCACTGTAAAAAACTATGGAATTCCACAAAAAAACCCCAAAATTGATATTTTATAGCAATTCTACTACTGGGTGTTTATCCAAAGCAAATGAAAACACTGATTTGAAAAGATATATGCACCTCTATTTTCACTGCAGCATCATTTACAATAGCCAAGATGTGGAAACAACCTAGGTGTCCATTAATAGATGAGTGAATAAAAAAGTGGTACATATACACAATGGCATATTACTCAGCTATAAAAAACAATGAATTCTTGCCATTTGCTACAACATGGATGAATCTAGAAGGAAAACTACTAAATGCAATAAATCAGATAGAAAAGAACCATATGAATTCAATCACGTGGGATATAAAACAAAAAGCACTGAATGAACAAATAAAACAAACAACAAAAGAAAAAGCAAACACATAGATACGTATAACAGAAAGGTGGTTTCCAGAGAAGGGGGATGGAGAGAGAACAAAGAAGGTAAACAAGGTCAAATACATGGTGATGGAATGAGACTAGACTTCAGGTGGTGTGCATACAATAGAGTATACAGATGTCATATTGTGTAATTATATACCTGAACTTTATAAATGTTATTAACTAACAAACGTTACCCAAATAATTTAAATTAAAAAATTAATGAATTTTATTTTGTGTATTTCCAAAGTGCGGCAAATATTTTTAGTTTGTCATTTGCATTTTACATGTTTATTTTCTTTCAAAAATCTTTTTAAATTGGATTTTTAAAAGATTTTATTTATTTATTTTTTGAGAGAGGGGGAGGTGGAAAGAGAGGGAGGGATACAATGATGCAAGAGGGAAACATCAATCAGATGTCTCTTGTAAGCACCTCAATTGGGGATTGAACCTGCAATTCAGGCATGTTGCCTGACAGAATTGAACTGGCAACCTTTCACTTTGCAGGACAATATTCAACCAACTGAGCCATACTGGTCAGGGCTCCAAAACCTTTATTTAAATATATATATATATATATATATATATATATATATATATATGCACAAACCATAAATGTACAGGTCAATACATTTGAAAAAATTCGGCATACTTGTGTAGTAACCAAGATAGAGATACATTAACATAACAGCACCATCATCCTAGGAGTTCTACTCCATTTTCATTTAAAAATTTTACCCTCTCTCTATCCTGAATTCTAGGGCCACAGATTAGTTTTGTTTGTGTTTGGACTGTGTATAAGTAAAATCATATAGTATGTACTTTTGTGTGTGTGGTTTCTTGTAGCTAAACATGTTTATGAAATTCATCTAGGTGTTGTGATAGTTTCATTCTCATCAAGATGTAGTTTTCCATTGTGTAAACATATTATATTTAATTTATCTACTCTGTTATTGATGGATATTTGAGGAGTTTTCATCTTAGAGCTACTAGTAATTACATACCTTGAATAGTTATATATACATCTTTTATTTTTTATTTTTTTAAAGATTTTATTTATTTATTTATCTTTAGAGGGGGAAGGGAAGGAGAAAGGAAGAGAAATATCAATGTATGGTTGCTTCTCGTGCATCCCCTGCTGGCAATTAGCCTGCAACCAAGGCATGTGCCCTGACGGGGAATCAAAGCGCGATCCTCTGGTTCACAGGCCTGTGCTCAATCCACTGAGCTACACCAGCCAGGGTTGTATACATCTTTTAATGAACACATATACTACAGGAAGAATGTTGGCAGTGATATCCTTATCCTGCATCCCCCTTGAGGCCCTATGGGGGCTGGAAGTAGGAAAGCTGGTGGTAAGAAAGGAGAGGGAGGCATGAGAGAGAATTTGGAGGCTCTGAAGTCCAGACCCCTATAAGGGCAGGAGGGTTTTTTTTTTTTATGACAAAGAAGAAAGGACTTGAGTGTATCCTTGAACCTCGTGGCAAATAAAAACTAGAATCCAGAAATAAAGAATCTTGAGGCCAGGACTACAGAGCTAGTCTGAGGGCATATATTTGGGGTCTGCTAGCATTGAAGCTTATCTCACATAGTTGGATTACTAGAAAGCCTCTTCTGAGT